GTAGACTGACTACTGAGATCATGAATGTCATGTTTAATTTCATTTAGTCTGATCTTATACATTTCTTAATATGAATCCCGCTGAGACTAGTCATTAAAAAAACATGCAAAGTAACTATATATCAAATCTCAAAATGAAACCATGACTTGAAAAAAATGAGAAAGTGATTTCATTTGATTTCATTTAGTCTTATTCTTAGTATAAAGTTACTATTTTTAGACATTTTAAGGTTTTTTTTAGAATATTTTTAATTTTTTAAAAAGTAACACTTTTTGATAATGCTTAAATGAGATTTAAAGTCATTTAAAGTAATAAAAATAATTTAAATTGAGAAGTGAAAATCATGATCTCATTTGAAAAATATGACAAGAGTAGACAGTAAGTTTCACTGAGATAGTATGAGACTACTATCTAATATTAAAATCATGTAATGAAATCAGTTAAATTAATAATAAAACTATTAAAAATTCTGATTCTGATCTCAGATATAATCACACAGTCAGTCTACTCAGCAGATTTTTGATAAATTAATTGAAGATCTGTAGATATCTCAACATCTTATTCTTATATTTTAATAGAAATATTCATCTTATATAGATAATATTATCTGTAATTATCATTGTAAGCTTCTTATCAGTGTAAGATAATATATTATTCTCAGTTTTAAAAGTCTTATCATTACTGAAAATATTTACTCAAATTTTCAAGACCTTTCAGATAATATGATATGATGTGAAATTCTTATAGAAAGAATGTTTCTATTTAGTCTTAACATATATAACACAGAATGATAATTTTTTCAGACTGATAATAATAATATCAAATCACAGATCTCTGATCATTTTCAATATACTATTTTCACTGATATAACTAAGTTAATGATATTACTCATCTATCAGAAGCTGCTTCAAAAGAACTGCAGATAATTAAGATAAAGATAAAATAATAAAGAAATCAGTATCTGAATTCTTAGAGTTAATTAACTATTTAATCTCATCACAGCTGAAAGATCTTAAAGACTCTGTATTCAGATTGTAATCTGTTGAGACTATCTTTAATTTCAGAACAGCTATATATATCACTGCTTTATATATCAGATTATTCATTACATTATGAAATGTTAATAAGCTGTCAGATAGAATGTAAATGTTATTATAAGACAGATTAATATAGAAGATATCACTATTAATAGATAATAAGAAACTCAAAGTAGTTCTCAGTATTAACTTATATATTACAGTGAATATAGCTCTAGCACTTTATAAACTCAGTAGAGATTAGATTTACAGATAGTTCTAGCATGTAGTATACATAATTAAAGTCTATCAATCTTTTACTTATTAAAATGAATGCAGTGCTGACACTCTAAATCTTTAGAATAATCTTATTAATCACTTAAACTGTTGAATTATTAATTGCTATAACCTCTGAAAATCATGATCTATCACTTATAATTAGACTGGCCGCCGGAACTATGAATTTCATGTTTGATCTCATTTGATCTGATCTCATACATTTCTTGATGTGAATTCTGCTAAGACTAGTCATTAAAAAAACATGCAAAGTAACTATATATCAGATCTTAAAATAGAATCATGACTTGAAAAAAATGAGAAAGTGATCTCATTTGATCTCATTTAGTCTCATTCTTAGCATAAAGTTACTATTTTTAGACATTTTAAGGTTTTTTTTAGACTATTTTTAATTTTTTAAAAAGTAACACTTTTTGATAACACTTAAATGAGATTTAAAGTCATTTAAAGTAATAAAAATAATTTAAATTGAGAAGTGGAAATCATAATCTCATTTGAAAAATGTGATAAGAGTAGACAGTAAGTCTCACTGAAACAGTATGAGACTACTATCTAATGTTAAAACTGTGTAATGAGATCAGTCAAATTGATAATAAAACTATCAAAAAATCTGATCCTGGTCTCAGACACGGTCACACGGTTAGTCTACTTACAATGTGACATCTAGTGTCACTATCTTATATAGTAAGAGAATTCTTGTAAGGTTTTATGAAACAGACTGATATATTTATAACCTCTGCAAGGTTTACTATTTGAAAAGTCTTAGAATTATCTGTAATAAATAATTAAGTTCTATTCTCACTATTCTTTTTCTTCTTTTCTTTGAATTTCTTTATTCTTACAGCATTATAGATTCTTCAATTATTCAGAGTACTATCAGAATTAATTAATCAAGAGTTGTTAAAGTAAGATCTCTCATATTTAGAATATTTTAATAAATTTTCTGAACTGTGATGATTACAGAAGCTCTCTTGAAAACTATTATAATTTTATTCAGTACAGTCTTCACAGGCTGCATTTAATATATTATTGTTAGAATAAGTAGATGTAGTAATCATTGTAGCTGTTATAACTATTATAACTATATTAACTGCAGAATCTGTACTCTGTTAATTCTTTTTTCTCTTTGAAGAATTAAGCTGCAAGTGAATCTTCTTCATAAGTAGATTGATATTCAATATTACAACTGTGAATTTAAAATTCTATATCTTCTCTATCTTCTTTTGAATATAATCTCTTCAATTATTGAGTAGAAGTCAGTAAAAGATATTAAATATTCATACATCTGAGAGAAAAGTATTTATTATTTTCAATTTTATAATAATGAATTAGAACTTATTAAAGAATGTATATAGATTGATAATCTATGTGTTATTAAATAATATAAATTTCAGAACTATCTCACAATGTAACTATATTTTAAAAACAGAGTATTTCTATTTAATCATATTTCAGAGAGTATAAGCAATCTGATTTTTATTATATTTGAAGAAATATGATCTGATACCTGCACTTAATAAGTTTGAGATGAATGTATAAAGTCATTGATTTCTGACATCTCAGAATAGTACTTATTCAGTATCTCTTTATAGAGAGTTCTGTGTCTGTTATTTCTTTATTATATATTAACACTGTGTATCAATTAGTTTCACTTTTATAAAGATACTTTATATAATGTAATTAAATATATCAGTTAGACTATTTAATCTCACAGCATTTTTAACATCTTTCTTGAATTATAAGATGATTTTGTCAATACAGCTATTTAATTTATAAAGATTGAATTTCAATCTTTCATTGAGATTAGAATCTCATGTAACTGTATAAACTGTTAAGATAATAATAGAATAATTATTAACATTCTGAGATTAATTTGTAGAGATTAAGAATCTCTGTTAATAAAGTTTTTTCAGTTGTAATTTAAGTTCTAGAACTCTTTGTCTCTTCTTCTTCATCTTAAATATTATTTTAAGATGTTTTATCTGCTAATCTGATATTATCTTATCTGAATAATAGATATCTGAGTGTTCATTATTCTCATCATAAGAATTAGTATTAAGCTGTTAAGTAGATCAGAAAGCCGGTCTGACTGTGTTAGAAACTGTATTCAAATGAGCTTCAAATTAAAAGAGTGTTTTAAAATGTTTATTAATGAAGCTTTCAAATGCTTCAGAAGAATATTCATTAATAAAGTATAAGTGTAAAGAATTATTATTATTAGTAACTGACTCAGTGAATAGAATACAAGATTATAAATATATATATAAGTAAGATTGTATTAAATTTATCATCTTTATATTTATTTATTAAATTCTTGATATTTATTTATTAAATTCTTGTCAATATTATTCTCTTTTTCTTACTTTTTTTACAAATGTGATATGTTTTCTGCAAGCTTCTTTTTTTTTTTTTTTTTTAAGTAAGCAGTAGTATTATTAATTAACAAGATCTTAAACATATTAATACTGATAGAATAAGACAATTTTAACATCTGATAAATGTATCAAATAAAGCAGTAGTTAAAATAATAATTATATTAACAAGAAATTCTGAATTAATAGTAATTTTATATAAAACAGATCTTATAACCTGTAAAAGATGTAAAGCTTACTTAATTGAAAAGATTACTAGCTTGTGAGAAGTTATATAATGAAAGAATTAGTAAGTCAGATTATATAACCTAATATATTTACAGATAATTAAGTAGTTTTTATAAAACAATAACTTAATTTTATAGAAAATATTCAAGAATATTTTTCATTGAAATAAATTTATTCACAGATTTAGAGAGTTTTTCTATTTTAAATACAGAAAATAATATTTTGTGAATAAATAATAAATTCTCTGAGACTTTTTTTTTTTATAAAAATTATTTATAGTACAGTTTAATACTTCAGAGTTTCTACAGTAGAGGCCTCAGTGACTGAATGGTTAATGCGGCCACCTGATAGTGCCTTGGTGTGGGAAACCAAGACACGTGGGTTCGAAACCGCAGGGGATACATTAAATCCAGAACTCAAGCACCTCAGGTTTCTAATAAATACAGAGGTGTACAAATCACTCCAATGAATCACTCTATGTCCTGAGCTGGGAAGTTATTATTGTATGTATCTAATTGTCACTTCTTTGTATTTTCCTATGTTCTTGTTATCTTGGTGTGGTCTCAACACCTGTATTTCCTCCTGTATAATCAACACTTAACCTGTATTTAACATCATGCAAGGACTCATCATAAGCTCCGCTTGCATATGAGTATAATAAAAGAATAATAATAATAATAATAATCTACAGTAGAGTTTACAGAGATTAAAGTGTATAAATTTCTAATCTTTTCAATTATAATGAGCAGTTGCTGATTGACAGAGATTGAAATGTAAGAATAAATACTTATAAATAATTATTCAGAGATTTACAGCTTAGTATGATATATATATACTGATAGCTACTAGAAGTATTTACAGTAAAAAGATAAATATAGTAGTTAAATATATAATAGTATTCAAGCTGAGTTGTAAATAGTAGTTACAAACTTCTTACTATATAGATTGTGTGTAGTTAAGAGCTGCTAACTCTATTATTATATAAGAGATTGAAATAAAGATAAAAAATCTATAAGAAGCAGAATTTCTTACATTAATATTTAACTTATTTTAACTCATTTTAAGAAATTTTAATTTATTTGTTAATTAGATCTATATTTTATATATATATATATATATATATTTTCACAAATATCAATCACATTGCATATTTGAACAAAAAATGAAAAGAAAAAGACAGTCTGAAACAGAAGACTCAAAAACTTTGAAATAGGTATAAAATAATAGAGAAATAAGAAACATATATGTATATTTAACATAACATAACATGCAAACAATTGAGGCGGGGAGGCGGTAAAGTAACTTGAGTCCTCAGCTCAAGGAAAAACAGCAAGGTAAAAAAAAAAAAGAGAGAGAAAAAAGGAAAAGAGAAAGAGAAAAATAAGGAAAATAAATAAAGAAAAGGACATTAAATTTCTTTCGCTTTCACATGACGGGATGCAAGATACAAAGGGGGGGGGGGGGGGGGGGGCGGAACCCCCCCTTGGTTCTTTTTTTCTTGGCTTAATTTAAAACAAAAGGGGGGGAACCGCGTGTATATATATGTCAATATACATGCGTAACTTCCTCACCGTTTCCAGTGCAAAAAGCGGAGGTATTCATGCAAGATACATAACACACGCCCACGCCCACAGGGCAAACATGTACATACGGGGGGAAGGGGGAGGGGGAGGGGGGTTTATTGGTAGTAGGGGGGGGGGCAAGGCAGCGCAGCACGACAAGGAGGAGGGCTAGGTCAAGACATCAAGTCAAGACCCCGAACCCAACAACGATAACTACACAACGTTCATCTCGTCTCATCTCATCTCATCTCATCTCATGTTCATCTCAACCATGGCATCCAACCATCCATCCACAAACAATCCCCACGCCATACACCTCTCTTACGCGCGCGCATCATGATGTCTGAACGGCTCATACGCCATATCCCTCCCATTCGCATTAGCAGGGGGCCCACCAGCCGCAGCAGGCATGAACGGCGCAGTCGTCGAGCCGGCGCCGCCATACGGGTCCGAGACGCGCTCGTACGTATAGGGAGTCTTCTCAGCGGTGATGCCACTGACACCGCGGGTGCCGCGGCGGCCGCCACCGATGCCGCCGCCGGCGTTGTTGGAGTGGCTGTAGGGGGAGCGGCCGGAGCAGCAGCAGACGCTAAAGAGCCAGAAGACGCCTGAGGCGAGGGAGAAGGCGACGCCGAGCCAGAGGGTTGCGAACATGTTTTTGCCCAGCGTGGCGTGGACGTTGTAGGGTTTTAGCGAGGTGTTGATGGCGGCGGTTAGGGCGGCGTACATGGCTGTGGCGGTGATGGCGGCGGCGAAGAAGAAGACGGAGGAGACCTGGTTTGTTTTATTAGTTTTTTGGATTATTGTGTTTGTTTGGGGGGGGTATGGTATTATTGTGGATAAAACGTACAGCAGACACGATGGTAACGACCAGACTACCCCAGCGACTAAAGACAGCCGCGATACCAACCAGCAACTCGACGCAGGTCGCTACAAACGCCACGATGAAGGCGATGAACATCCAGCCGGCAACCTTCTTGTAGGCGCTCAGGCCCTTGTCCAGGTTATCGGGCAGGAACTTGTCGTCGCTATTATCCTCGACCAGATCTTCGAGATCCCACTCGTCGATGGGGTTGAACCAGTACTTGGCCTTGCGGTCGGTGCATCTAACGATCTTGAACTCGCCGTTCTCGTACTCGCCGTAGCAGTGGTTCCAGAGGCCGACGAGGTAGAAATCGTGCAGGTTGCCGCTGGCGTCGGCTTGTTGGAGGCTGTTGGTGAAGGGCAGGAGTTCGTTCGGGATGCCCTTTGAGTTGAGGTCTAGGTCTTTTAGGTCTGCCTGTGGTTGTGTTAGGATATATATATATATATATATGTATGTATATATATTAAGTACGTATATGTAGAAAACAACTCACCTTGACGAAATAGATATTTTTGAGAGGAGCCTTTGTGTTTGTCACGCCCAAGCCGACGAAGACGAGACAGACTAGGGCGCCGATTGAGAGGAGGTAGGGCGTGAAGATACACGCTATTCTACCGCCTTTGCCCATGGTGACGGAGGGCGAGAGGGATCGATATGGAGGGGGTTGATAGGGTTGACGGGTTTGACGGGTTTGACAGGTTAATGAGGTATCGTTATGCCGATAATTGAGGAGAGAGATATGAGAGGGAGAGGGAGAGAATGGAAGAAATCCAACACCAGGGCGGCGGGCGAGCGAGTGTTTTATTAGAACACGCAAGGCACGGCGGCGGAACTAAGGCTGTTGTTGCGTTGCTGCGGCTGACGCTAGGAATCCAACACGAGAGATTGGCAGCAGGGAGAGTGGGTGGGTACGAGCAGCACAGGACAGACAGAGGAGACAGGACAGGCACAACAGGAACAGCCACAACGCAGCAGGCAGGGTATACAAGATTAACGAGCGCTGGATGCAAGAGTAAACAAAAGAGGGAAAGTAAAGGGTATAAAACAACAGATGCTGGGTTGAAGCTGGTGACGGAGCTGGCTTGCTGCATATATATATATAAATATATATATATATTATTCTGTATACACACAGTAACAAGTTATTAATAATCCACCCGCCCAGCCGCCAAGCCGCCGGCGCCAGCGTCAGCCTTCTACATCTCTTCTTTCCAACAGGTTATTATTTATCTCCACGGCAGGACACTGCTGGTTATTAGTAGTTCTCCCGGCAGATCACAGTATGTATCACAGCAGGATTCTGCACTAGAATCGAGATAGAATTCGTGCCCCTGACCCGTGGCAATAGCCCACACTACCATGGGTTCCACAACGGTTTCGGTCCGCGCGGTGTGTGGAGTTTGTGCTCTGCCCCGGCGTCGCGCCTGTTGTGGCTGTGGGCCGAGGGCTGTGTGCATTGTGCTACGGTGGTTATTCTTCCCTTCTCGTTTCTTTTTTTTTTTTGTTTTCTTTTTTCCTTTTTTTTTCTCTTCTGCGCGCGCTCTTGTGCTGGTCTGTCGTATTGTATCGTATTTTAGATTTTAGTATAGATTGTGAGCGGGCAATAATGAACATGAACATGAACATGTACGAACATGTACATGAACATGGACATACATGATACGGGAGGGAATACGATGTTCCATTTTAACCCCGTCTATTGTTCGTCTGAGGATACGGGAGGCATATGATACCTATGCTGTTCTTGAAGAAGAACCTGTCCCGTCAAAAACACGATATATTACTCCAGCGCGCGGGTTGTAAAATAGTAATAATATAAGAATTTTAATTCCTGAATCTACTGCCATTGAGTAGTGATGACACTGACAGCTGACAGCTGACACTGGCCATAGGGACGTTAATCTTCGTTAGTTAGGCGTTGCTTGGTCAGAGATTTACACAGTGAGTGGAGTGGTTCCCTCCAAACAAGCCATGATCTGACCGCGCGATGCTATAAATAAATCCAAATCCAACAATTTTATTATTCTTTCTCGACTCCCCCGTCCGTGAGATACGCTGTACGCAGCGTAGATCAAATCTCAGCATTCTCAGCATTCTCAGCCTTACCCCCCCTGTCCTGTCTGGCAAATAAACCCAGCGGTGATGGCCCTGCCTCCGAGCCTGTCCTAGGAGCACCGCTAACTAACTATTTAACTAACCTAGTTAATTCAACCAACTAACTCTGTAGCTGCTCCATCCGAAACGATCGCTCGCTTCTGCTGTTTGACATTTTTGCTGTCATTCTTCCTCTCTGACATCCCATGTTCGGACGGACTCTCTTCAGCTACAGCTCCAGCTCCGAACGTCTACTACTCCGCCAGCTATCCGCTTGTCGCTATCACCGTTATTACTGATTATTAAGGGTTGATTCTATTCAATTCAATTTGATCGATAACTACTATATACTATATGAGTGCTCTCTTCTTGGCCCCCTAGGTAAATGATATCCACACATAATCCAGCAAGGGATCAAAAAAAAAAAAAAAGTAAATGAGTTACCATCACAGACAATTATTATTATTTATTATTTCACATTCATATCCCCCGACTTCCTTCAGGTCGGACGATACGATACATAAATACATCCATCCTGTACATATTGCATCCAACCCGCCAAACCACAACCACAACCACAACCCCATTCAAAAACCGACTCAGATCTCCCGTCTCCCATCTCCCATCTCCTATCTCACATCCCACATGCAATCCTTCGCGAATCCTTGGAAATCCCCATGCCATGCAATCTCTAAAAATAGCACTGCCCCACGCCTCGCCTAGTCAGTTAGATAGTTAACTACTAGTTAACTAGTTCGTTAGTGGCTTGACAAAGCCACCGCTCCACCACGCAGACTCACCAACCAAACCACCCGCTGCGTGCGGGGGATGATGGATCTGACGGCCAATCTGTCGCGGTACGGTACTGTACTGTACTGGGCTGGGCTGGGTTTTGTTTGAAGACTGAGAGGGCGGGAGGGGAGGGGGATTGAATTGAATGAATGGATTTAGTATTATTGAAATCGAGTGAGTGAGTGAGAGTGTTTGCTGAAAGCAGCTTCGTCAAATTTGGGGCGGGGGAATGAATTGATCCCATTATGTGTTGGTTAGGGATTATTATTGGTGGTATGCTGCATATGCAAACGCTTGCATGCTTTGTTGTCTTTCATACTCTGTACTGTATGTATAGATGTACTCTTCCCTGATCAGCTTGCTTTGCCTCTCAGTACTGCGTATTATTGCAATGCAATATAAATCACAACCTGCAAAGTTCATAGAAAAAACAAAGAATCTAACAATGTATATTGATATAGATAAAGTACTCTGCAACTATCATCATTTCAAAAATAGGTCATGCAATGCATTCACTTGCATTCTGTTTTTCTCCTTTTAACAATGCTCTCTCTCTTTCTATTTGTATAGATATCTCTCTTGAAAGCATATTCCAAACCCCCTAGCATTTCTTATTCACTTTATTTACTTAATTCTTGTGTGTTTGAAAGGATACTCAGTCTGGGAGAAAACCCAGGTCAACTCTGGCTGAGGAAGAGAAAGGAACAAGTTTGTTTGAATTGAATTGGATTGAATTGAATATAACTGACATCAGACATGGCAGTTTTGAAGGTAGACAAGTTGCTGTGTTGATTCTGTCATTTACTACCCATACATAAAGTGTATATTTTGATAGATAGAAAGGGGGATGCGATAGTAGATTCCCGGATAAAAATGTTCCTTTAGTAGAAGGTGTCAAAGCGCTGACGCTGATGATGGCGATGAAAAATTTGACCCCTCCGCAAATACACTGCAGAAACCAGCATAGAGATAGCCAAAACTCTCCCACATACATCACTACATCTTTGTTCTTTGTTTGAAACACCTAGCCCCTTGCCTTGGCCCGCCTATAGCGAGCGAGCGGGGACAAAAAAACGAGGCGACTTGTCCCACGGACCGTTGGTGAAGAACTTTTTTTTTTTTTTTTTTTTTTTTTTTTTTTTTTTTTTTTGGCCTAAAGATACACATGTGTAACATATTCACTCTGCAGGCCGGGGATGAAGCCCGCCCGCATCGTATCGCATCGCATTGTGCTCTGAGTATGTGCGTGTGTGTATTTTGTCATAGGTGGGAAGAGGATGGGATGACTTGAGGTTCTCGGTTTTTTGGGTGGTTTGAATGTGATCAGTGTGGCTGGGTATGGTCGAGTGAGTATGATGGACGCGTCACTGTGTCTCTCCTCTCTGTTTTCAATATTCAGTTCTTTTGGAGGGTTTTCTATATTTTTGAAAAAGGTGGCTGAAATGGCTGAAGTGACACGGGTATCAATCAATGTGTTGTTATAATCCATAACGGTCCGGCCATTTGATGTTTGATGTTTGCTGCCCTTTTCATCTCTGTCTGCATGTAGTGTTATCTAGTGTTAGAGTAAGTTGTAGCTAGTAGGTTGGAGTGTAATACAATGCTGAGTATGGAAATGGGAAGGGGGAATAAATAATTTATTACTTGAACAAGATAACACGCTCATGCCAATAGTTGTAAATTTTGGGTATTAGTTATGTGTCAATGGGTTGCTTGTAAACTTCTCTCTTTCAACCCCAAGCAAGCCATTCTGAAGATGGTTCATTGTAAGATGTTGGCTCTGGGGAATCTCCCTCTAATCTCCTTCTTCTCCTTTCCACGCCTTGTGAACATAAAATCTTGCAAGTAATATCCTAAGGAAAGGTCCTGTTCGTTCATCCGTCCGCGGAAGTAATTTCCACACTCCAAAGGTGTCTAAGGACGGACGCTGCTTTTGATGGTGTGTCTAACAGTTTGCATTGACCAGATCATTCGCGGTTTAGGGCTATCATTTAGTGAGCCTCTATCTTCCTCTTCCGTAGGGGGCTTCCACGTTCCATATGTCGAGATTAAACATATGCTCAAACATCGTTTTGAAAGAGATGCTCCCATCTATTGTAGTCACCCCTTTGGTAGGGTACCCATTGTATACTCGCGGGGTCGGGCATGAATTTCGTATTGGGCGGATACACTCGCTTTAGGTAGTTACGCCCTACCCTCCTTGCCCTGAAAGCGTGGTCTGGACCCAGCATATCGATATCGAGATTCTTTCCCACAGTCGATTCACATCCCCTTGTTCGTCATGGACATAGATATCAGGCAATTCATTGGAATCACCGGCAAAGCACTGTTGTTTCTCTACACCAGGTTAATGAACGAGCAACTGCCTTGTCGGACGTAAGTTGCACAACGAAAAATGACCAGGAGAGTAACCAAAAGACATCGAGAAAAAGTGAGAGAAAACAAGGATGAGAAACCGAATAAATGAAAACAGGGACAGAGAAGAAGTAGCGAGGGCATTCCGGCCTTCTATTCTATCGAGGCGGTGCAATGTGCCTTCGCTGAATCGTGGCTCTTCAGTTGCGTGTGCATCCTTAAAACTTGCAAAGAGAGAAACCACGCGAGGCTTGTTCGGAATGCCCATGCATATGGCGCTACCGACATTTGCGTGAGATTCGATTTGAGCCCACCACACGATCTCAAATCGAAGCAAGTCAGATCAAGAGATATTCTCCAGTTCTGAAATTCAATTGGCATCTGGTATCCCTAGGCGGGTGTTTTTCTTCGATGAGTTGACAAATGCTCAAAGCATATATGATGGGTATCACGAAAACAAAATATTCCAAATTTCATCCTCATTTAATCTCTGACGGAATTCACCCTGGGAAAGTTTGCCATTCCCTTCGACACCAGTTTGGAAACTCGATACGCGTTTACGTAGCCTCCTAAGTTGGTGAGGGTGGAATTGACTTGCAGATTTCTTTCCTATTGATGCTAGGACCGGGAATTGCGAAGATTTTATGGCGATATCCAATAGTAATCGACCACGCTGGGGCGTTTTGTAGTGAGCAAATGGCTTTTTCCAGAATGGCTGTCATAGCTCAACTTGGAGCGGCGGTGGGGGCTAGCAAAGTGGGTTCGCATAGCTAAAAGAACGACCAAAGTTTTCAATCTCAGTGACGTATAACCAACGTACTCCGTACAGAGCATGGAGTGATCTCACAAGCATCGAGCTGCCGCTCCTTGCGATGCTAATGATGTCATCCACCTGTTTCAGGACCTTGCATAACCTGTACCATTAGCCTGCATTCATGTTAGACAACTTCCAAAGCGTAGAAAAACCTTTGATGCTAAGAAATAGCGGGTCAACAGTTGGTTTAAGTCTTCCTAACGTCTCTGGTTTCTGGGCCTGTTGTCTTGTCAAGAACTGACGTCGTCTAGCTCTTGTCCGTTTTAGGAAGGCTAAGCGATCTCTGTCGACGTCACATCTCGTAGCCGCATCTTATCTTGGAACAGTCAAGCTCCAACATTATTGTTGATATTCATACAACTTACGCACTTCCACTTTGTTTCCTCTCATCCCTCATTCAACCGCGTGTTACCGGGCCTGGTGAGGCTTCGTAACTTTCATTTAAACTCCAGACTTCGCACTCGTTTGCTCCGTTTACGTTTCTGGAAACAGCTACTACTAAATAACTCCCAAACGACGAAACTAGGTGTGGACGCCAACTATTTCTTAAACACATAGTTATATAACGATTCGCCTGATATATATACGATACTTCTTCTTCACAATGCATCGGACGTATTCCATGCGCCAATCGCGCACGCCAACGGCTTCTCAGCTTGAGAACCCGCCCCCTCCGCCCTCGACGACCAAAACGAACCGACTGTTTGGAAGGACCAGTCTTGGTGGGTAAACAGCATTTTTTGTACATTTGCTCCCCGAAAATTATGCCATAATACGTACAAATGTCTCTGTGCTTGCAGAAGAATTGATGTCTTCGTCGAGCTGAACATCATCTTACTCCATTGCTGAGAAGCTACTGATCGCTTTCTTGCCATGTAGGTCATGCGTTTCGGAAACAGACAGCGGGGGCTTTTGGCCCGGACCTATCCAGAAAGCTTTCCCAACTGGTTAAAATGGAGAAAAACGTGATGCGAAGCATGGAGTTGGTGGGTAGAGAGAGAATGGAGGCTGCTGTACGTTTCTTTTGGTGCCATCCTATTACATATTTTGGTTGACTACATATTGATGCATCCACAGCAACAACTTTCTTTTTGGGGAGAGTCATGCGACGATGACGTTTCAGATGTTACCGATAAGCTAGGAGTTTTAATATACGAAATGGGCGAACTAGAGGATCAATTTGTTGATCGATATGACCAGTACCGGGTTACAATGAAAAGCATTCGCAACATCGAAGCATCCGTACAACCAAGCAGAGATAGTATGTTCACTCGTTGGCTTCATATACTACATCTGTTCTGATACTAACCAGCTTTGTGTCTCCTAGGGAAGCAAAAAATAACGGACCAGATAGCGCATCTCAAATACAAAGAGCCCAATTCACCTCGAATCGTAGTATTGGAGCAGGAATTGGTTCGAGCCGAGGCAGAATCACTTGTTGCGGAGGCACAGTTATCTAACATCACGCGAGAGAAAGTAAAGGCTGCGTTTGCCTACCAGTTCGATGCTCTGCGCGAACACTGCGAAAAGCTAGCTATCATAGCTGGATACGGAAAGCATCTGCTTGAATTGATTGACGATACCCCAGTTACACCAGGAGAAACTCGGAATGCTTATGATGGGTACGATGCCAGTAGGGCAATTATTCAAGACTGTGAAGATGCATTGACGCATTGGGTCTCATCTAATGCGGCTGTGAGCTCTAAACTTTCCACTCGTTCTCGCACCCTTTCCCAACGGCGCCGTAATAACATCTCGAAGACGCGTGGTGAGGGTGTGGACCTTACCAGCCAAGATCCTCCCCTCAAAGGCGACCGTGATTCCTGGGTCCCGGTCCAACATCATCCTAACTATCATCAACACCAGGCGGACGAAGTGGACGATGAATATGAGCACGAAGATGTTTTAGAACCGAACGGCGAAGTAAGGGACCGAGAAGATGAGAAACATTCTGTTCCAACTTGATCATACTCCCATCGCCCACGAAATATTCTACATGGTTTGATATGTGCCGTATATTTTGAGCGCGTGGGAGTTGTGCAGGGGGCTAATTTTGTTTCACTCTTTGTTTATTGCAGAAGATTTAAGTGCAATGTTGTTTTTCTTTTTTCTTTTTTTTCCCCTTGGGCAGGAAGGAGAATTTATGCTGATAGTATACTTGCCACAATATCAACTATATAATATATCTTTAATGGTTAATATATTTCTTTCTAGGGTCTACTGAACTTTTTTTTCTCCACTGACATTTTTCCATATGAAAATATACATACATGGTCGTAGAGACTATAAATGTAGATTCGCGTTGTTCAATTACAAGCGCCTACTATAGCTGTGTTATCTCGAGTAAATCCCGATGTGCTACGTAACCACAAAAGCATCATCACCACCCACTAAAACAACATTTGTAAAAGAAAGAAAATATACCCATGTTTGCGAAAGAAATGCCACACGTTGGTCAAACTTGAAGTCACAATGACGGATTCACCCAGTCAACGCAGCTACGGTCTTTGGTCGTCCAAGTTCCACCTTCGAGTTGAAGCAAAGGCTGATGTGATTCCACCAGGATGATTCAGGTGCCACTAATTGCTCTATCCAAATCTTCCAGAGCACTGGGTTTTCCTGAGTGGTGCCTGGCGACTGGAGCTGAACGTCTCATGTGGCGGTATCACAGAAGAGATCCAAGATCAGATTCTCGCCGCCGCCACCGAAACGGCCTGCCAAAATCCCGAAATCCTGTCAGACTCCTCTAATTCTCTTTGGCTGGAGTTTTCGTTCGCACGGACTGCAAATATGATGGCATTCTGGCCAGCACACCGCAAAACGTGAGCGCAGATTACTGGCCAGGTGATATCCAGGTTGCTCAGGTTTATCCGTTAAATGGCGGGTGTGAAAGGCGGTTTTCAATGGGCCAGATATTATTTGTTGTCGCCAATTGACCAACGACCATGTTGCTTCTGTCCTTCCTTTCCAATTACCAAAAAAAGAATTCTCGCAATTGGTCTCATTCATTGAATCTGATGCATTAAATATGAGGTTCGTTTTCCCTAGAACCGAAAAGTTCCATGGTCTCTGGATGTGATCCGATCTGCTCCTCTGTTGAATCACCCCGGCCCTGAAAGTATCGCATTACTGAAAGGGACCTGTCGACGGGCTCTGGTTGATCTTAGTTCACAATGCTGGATATATGAACAAACTATCTGATACGCCTTGATGTTGGACTGGTGGAGTGGCAAAGATATCAGTCTCAGTTTCGCATTTCTGAAGAAGTTAAAACGAGATGGTAGATCCGTTATCGTGTTGGGATGCAGCCTTCTCTACCCCTATCACCAATTCTCACGCATTGGCGACACACGATTAGGGATTACCCGTGGGCACCGGGTGGGCTAATGCCGACTGGGTCAGTGATGCTGCACAAGTATATCTTTACATTTCTCGCCAGATCGATCAATCAACCAGGAGATGTGGCAATTGTCAAAACCTGGCATAGAGATAACGTTAGCTGCGCGAATACTAGTTAAATCTCACGCTCCTCCAACGACCGCGGAGCACTCCCCCGAGCTGCCCGGGAGGTACAAACATCGATGTTAAGCCGGACGGCAAAGTTCCGTCCAGGGCAATCAACCGCATAACATGGGATATTATACCAAGAGCGTCGGGAATGATATAGTATTTGGGTACCTGAGGGTATCGGAATTGAGTTCCATTCCATTCCTCACTTTTCTTCTTTCCGAGAGAGTGATTGATGATAGACTTGCAGTAGCCATATGTATGTGGGGAGCTAGTTTGATTCGACTCTCTGAAAATTAGTGACAAATACATCTTTTCGCGACTCTTGGTTTGTATCTCTGTTCACTTTCAAATTGAAGCTTTCATTTTCAATTTGGCTCTACTTCTCTTTTCATCAGTTAAATGGCCCAACCTCCAATCCGTCCAGGTGCAGATGTACCGTTTATCTCTCCTTACTGCGTGTTCCCACCTTCAATGAAGAGTCTTATTGTCTTCATTGTCTCGATTGCCGCTACATTTTCAGGATTGGCTACACATATCTACTTTCCCGTCATCCCAACGATTGCGACAGACCTATCTGTGTCAATAGATTTGGTCAACATTTCCGTTACGGCCAACCTCGTTTTCTAGGCGATTATACCTTTCATTTGGGACGCGTTTTCAGATTGCGAGGGCCGTCGAATTGTATATCTCTCAAGTTTCATTATATTTACAGGGCCTTGTGTTGGTCTCGCAAAAACAAGCAACTACCCCCAGCTTATGGTGCTACGGTGCCTCCAAAGCATAGGAAGTGCGAGTACCATAGTCGTCGGCACTGGTGTTCTTGGAGATATTACTACGAGAGATGAACGAGGCGGCTACATGGGCTACTTCCAGGCAGGGCAGATGTTACCACTTGCAATTGGACCAATCCTCGGAGGGGTATTTGCTGATACGATTGGCTGGAGATCCATATTTTGGTTCCTCACCATCTACTCAGCGGTATTTCTTGTTTTTCTCGGCCTATTCCTCCCAGAGACTCTTCGATCATTGGTTGGAAACAGCTCCGTCCCTGCCAGGGGCATCTCAAAATGCCCCCTGACGTATTTCCAACCACGCCAAGCAGCACAAGGCTCACAGCCAGACTCTGCACCGACGCCCACAACGGTAATATCTAATGGCAAGCAAAGCTTCAACTTCCTCGGCCCAATCCGTATCCTCATTAGCCTTGAAATCACGTTTGCCATCGTCTTCGTCTCCATTTGTTACGCACTGTGGCAAATGACTCTCACCGCGCAATCTACACTTCTCAAGCAAACCTACAATCTCAACGACACCCAACTGGGATTAACATACGTTGCAAACGGCGTGGGCTGCATGGTAAGCACTGCATCAACAGGGAGGCTCCTGGATGTCGACTACAAGCGCATTAAAAGCAAATACAGCGGACCGGCGGAGAGCTTCCCACTGGAGCGAACAAGGCTCCGCACCGCTTGGTTCTGGGCTGGTGTGCAGAGCGCCTCGATCCTTGTCTTTGGCTGGACGCTGGATAAGAATGTCCATATCTCTGTCCCCATCATCAGTACCCTTATAGTAGGATGGACAACAACGTCCATCCAGTGCCTTGTCTTTACCTTCTTGGTGGACGTTTACCCTGAACGGGCCGCTACGGCAGCAGCAGCGCTGAACTTGTTTAAGTGTCTACTTGGCGGTGGGGGAGCGGCGGCTGTGTTTCCCATCATCAAGGGAATAGGGATTGGATGGACGTTTACACTTTTAGCTGGGATTCTCCTTCTAGGGTTGGGCGTTTTGGGCGTACAATTTGTATATGGGCCTAGGTGGAGAGGGGAGGCGAGATCGCGCCTTGGAAGTAGTGACGTTCATGAGATGCTACGAGGAAACTGATACTCTGTATATTGCAATAGATAACTTGGCTATTGAGTCCATCTAACTTATCAAGATTCACAAATGTCTGGAGTTGGCTTTTTTTTTCGTTTTCTCCCCGGGTTCGTCTCTAGGCTTATTCCGCTTCGAAGGTTATCGACCGCTAGAAAGGGGCTAACCCAAGCAGCTAGTTCGTATTCAACCATGCATTCGCCCTGAAAAACAGCCGGCAGTGGCGAAAGATCTGTGTAGATTTACTTCCGAAGCAGTCAATTTATAGGTGGGCTGCTGCTCATCAGCCATACGAAGAGTGATGCAACTTAAAAGTAACTTGAATAAATCTTGATCTACTTCAATCAAGCAATTAAATCGTACCAAAAACAAGTTTGTTTCTCGAAAATCAAAATCATCGTTGAAAGATTGAAAACCCCCACACAAACAGCAAGCAAGAAAGTAATCTCGTCAACCACAAGAAGCAGGAGCAGAGTGAATAAAACCGCAGAAGCCAGGCGCCGTTGGAAATGCAATGTTTCTCACGACGTCATTTAAAACAACAAATAGAAGAAAATCGTTAGATACATCAGATTCCCCCCGTCACAGATGAGGAAAAAGCCAAGGGAGGCAAAAGTGATAACATCAAAACTCCATTCTTACGTGAACACTCTCCTTTCGAATTTCTTCACCGCATCGCGCCACACCCCACCCCCTAACTTAGCCTCAGGAGCTTGCTTCTGTTGAATAATCTTTTCTAACATATCACCAATCTGTGCTTGGCCTACGTCTCCTTCATACGAACTCAAGGAGCCGTAAATTATGCTAGCGGAGACATCGATATCAACATCAATATCCATGTCAGGAGTATCCTTCCCACTTTGAGCGGGTCGAGGCTTCACCGTAAAATCGACATCGATCCGCGCTCTGACTTTGCCATCCACGTTTCTTGATTTCAATGGTGATATTTGCTTTGCATCACCTCCAGTCGATTCGGGAGCTATGGTCGTGGAGGACCAGCCGAGAACCATGCAGCGGATCTCTAATAAAGTGGGTTCGGACGGCTTCGCTTCAATGGCTTTCGCCCTTGTGATTCCGCAATAATCGAGTGCGCGTATTTCATCCCCAAGGCTAATGGCTTTGTCCCATGCTCGCGCCATGCCTGCAAGGAATTGTCTAGGGCTTATTGATGAGTGTGGGAGTTGGGAGGCGCACGTGCGGAGCGCATGGAGGACAAGAGCCTTTTCAGGGGAAGGGCTGCTGCTTGCATGTCGTGCCTCGTGGGTCACGCTGGGTGAGTAAGTAAGGGTAATAGGCAGATTCTTGTTTCCTGGGGAGGAGCTACCGCCAGACAACTCCTGGGTGGATTGGTTGAGGTTGAAAGCGCCGGGATAAAAATCCACCTGGAGCTCATTGCGATATCGCATTCTCAAAGCAGGGCCATATTCGGAGCTCGGTTTCAAAGAAGCTGATAAAATACTCCAGCCTGTTTGGCGCTCAAGTTCACGAACAGAAGCTGTTATTGCATGTTGCATTAGCAAAGAGGGAAAATATGCGCGTATTTAGAGTGTACATGCTCACCTTTCAGAGTTTTAACCTCCTTTATACTCCAACCCCGGCACTCTTCTGTGACTCGCTCCGCTTCACCTATCTGGGCCAAAAGCTCATCTTTCAATCCCGCTCCAGCTTTAATTATGCTCTTCTTGTTTTCCAGCTCCGCCTGTGACTGCTCCAATGACTTCCTCTTTGCGGAAATCTCCGCATCTAACGCAGCTAACCGTTCACGCGCTTGACGAAGTTCTTCCTTATCACAGTTTTCCAGTTCATCGACGGCTCGTTGGAGATTCTGGGCTTCGGTTTCAAGCCTTGCGTGTTTCTCGACTAAAGGGGGCACCACACGATCTAAGAGATCCTCTTTCTTCGACAGAACCGCATCATCATTCTGCATCTCTTCAACGTGACGATCAAGTCCCTCTTTTAAGCCCTCCAAAAGTTTCATGCGCCACTCATACCACATGGACTTGCTTAGCAGGCGCGCGTGAGCTTTGACGTTACGAAATTGGTTGTCCATCAACAACCGTATATCTGGTGGCGCCGTCACGTATTCTTGGAACAAAGGCGGGTTATCTGCGTACGTTTCGGTTTCAATAGACCGGATAATCCGCCGACCCTCTGATATATACGATTTCAATTCACGACACGACTAAAGCAAGTTAGCTCGTTGAAAGAGAATAAGGAGGAGCGAGCCCACTTACGTGTTGGTACAATTCAAGCATCGGAACTGTGCAAAAGCCAGCAGCCACACAATCTTCGAAACTTATGCCTTTGACAGCCTCATCATCTCTCTTTGATGTAGCCTTTTTATTATCACTTGACGGAGCCAATGTATGTCTCCTCTTTGTTGTGGTTAGTTCCATAAAGTGGATGTTAGTCATATTCAGGAAATCTTGAAGCTGTATTGGCTCAACTTGTGGCTCGTGTTCTTGGTTGGAATAGCTCCCCAGGTTGCCTTCCGGGCCAGCACCAGAATATTGGGCGGTATGACCTTCACCTGCGGACAAATCTAACCGGCTAGAAAGAGGAACTCCCTTGGGGGTCGTACTCCCGGGCTTGCCTGGAGACGACCAAGGGTCATTATAACTTGATGCTCGAATTGTTCGCCTGACTGTTTCGCCCATGGAAGGAGGGGCAGGAAGTTTAATGTTTTTGACGGGGCTTGCATCACGACCCCTCAGTCGTTTAGGAGTATAGGCTTCTTCGTCTTCGTCATCCTGATCTAGCTCAGCTGGGCGCTTCCCAAGCAGGCCTACCGCTGCACCCACGTGCAGGCTTTTTCGTGGCTTTGGTTTATTTTTCTTAGGGGTCAGGGTCGATATTAGCTCTTTCAAGTTAAGAGGTGGGCCTTCCCCATTCTGAGAATTGTTGGGTGCTTTAGTGATTGCGATCTCCCTTTCCCTTTCTTCTTCTCGTTCCTTATCAATTTCCTCCTCGAGCTCCCGAGGGTCATCAAATCGGACCACTTGAGAGATTTGACCCTGTGGAACAAAGCTTTGGGAGTCCTCCCCGATGGATCGCCGCCTATCTAGCATTTCCGCAACACGCGGTGACCCGAGACCTTCCCTATCGATACCAAGGCCGCTCGACGGCCGCCTGTGAGGGTGCAAGACAAAGGATGGAGTGGCCTGGCCTGTAATGCTATCATGATGGAAAAGCTTTCTTGAGCTGGGCGGTGTTTTCTTGGTGGAGGTTTCTCGAAGTTCCGGCACGAAAGGCCTTTTCGGGGATGCATTCCGAAACGCGACTTTGCTTGACGGGGGTGTCTTAGCAGGAGTCGAAGCCTTGTTACCCCGTGGAGTCAACTGTTTTTTAGAAGGGCTCGTTGTCTTTTTTACTGGAGATGACGGTCGAGAGCCGCCCCTAGGGGTAGTAGATTCTCTTGGACCCACGCTTCTTCGATCCTGTCTGCGTCTGACACTAGCTACAGTCGGGCTGCCATATTCAGACACGATCGGAGTGTTCTGTTCGATGGTAGCAGCGATTTTCGGAGGGGAGGGAACGATGTTCTCTTGGAATGGTGAGCTAAAAATCTGACCAGCATCGCTTTCTAATTCCATCAACATCTTTCCTTGAGACCTGTTGTTAAAATTGAATTGAGGCGGTAAGATTTTTCCTAGCGCATTCGTCATTTCCATACCCATGGTTTCGTCGTCCTCCAGGGGTTCAGTTTGTTCCTCAATGGGTGGTAAAATACCTCCTACTGCGCTTGTCATCTCCATCTCTTCATCACCAGATGCTTGATCAAGCTCCTCAATTCTATACTCAGCGGGTTCGTTGGAGCGGTGCTCGTATTCTTCGGCGGCTGTCAGTTGGGGATACGCCTGCTGGATACTACCAAGAGCTGAGGTGAATTCCATGGTCATCTCTTCATCACTGCCAACGTCACTGTCCCCAGAGATACCCTTTAGAGGAGAATGATTACGAGCTATGCCGCCAACCACGTTTGTAAATTCCATAGTTTGGTCCCCGAGATTTGACAACTCGCTGGTCGATATCCGGCGGGCTTTGTCCAAATGGCCATCGTTTGAAGCAACGGACCTACGGCGGGGCTTTCCATGTGGTGAGGTTTCGTCCCGTTTCCCCGGAATTATTCCTCCAATGGCTTTGGTTATATCCATACTCATATCTGCTTCACTCTCATCATAATATCCGGCATCAGATTGCCTATTTGGAGGTTGATATTGCGATAGTGGGTGAGAGAAATGATTAACATTCTCCTGGTCCAGCCGAGCACTTAAGTCTTCCAAGTCTAAGTCAAGTTTATTTGCCCCCTTCTTAACCCAAGGTTGGAATGCCCCAGCAATTTCACGATTCGTGAATTCCATAGACAAGTCACCATTCTCATCGTATTCAATTCCTTTGGTGCCTGCTAGTTGAGCAGCCTGGCGTAAAGATCGCTCTAGCCTCGCACTATCGCTAGTGCTTGAAGCCTCGGAATGTGTAGAAATAGATCGCTCGGTAATATTCTCCATACTCATCAATGTGGCCCCATCGTCGTCATCGTCGTCGTCATCGGAATTCATGTCCCCATCCACAACATGTTCGCCGGCCTCTTCACTTCCACCTGCCGAGCTTCCACTAAATGGACTTGAAGAAAATGCTTCATTAGGGTCGGGGTTGTACATATCTCTGTGAGCTACGCCTGAGCTGCGATGTGATTTTTGATGTGGATCATGGCCACTATAATTTGGATCGTCATGTGGATTGTTCGTTGGCGGTTCAGTATTATCCAGCTCTTGCTTTTGGGTGTGTTGAGCTGGATCCGTCAAAGCAGAGGCGCGCCTGGTAGAATTCGAGGCGGAGGAAGACGTAGAATCTTCAGCCAATTCAACTACGTTCCAAGTATGTAGTGTGGCCTCTGGCGCAAATGATACACGACGATTTGCTTTAACACTGTTAGTAAGAACAATGCTTTGAGGAGAACGGTCTGAAACCTACCCATCGATTTTCGCCTTGCTGCCCTGTGGTCCAAAATAGCCTGTCTCTCGCGCTCTCGCTGTTCAGCTTCTTCCCTTTCCCTAGCCGCAGCCATTTGTTCCCCCTCCGCGCGAACCGCAATTTTGGCATTTTGGATAACAGCCGAAGGATTAAAAGTATCAAATGGTTTGACCAAATGATCTGCCCCGACAACGGGAGCTGACGGTGGTTCAGAGACGTTAATAGGGGGCTCATTTTTTTCATTCAGGCTATTTGATTGGCGATAATTGGAGCCGCGTTGCGGACTTCGAGCCGGAGTTCGTTTGCGCGTTTCATCGAAAGATGGAATACTTCGTATGGGAGAGACGGGTATCGTAGGTTTGAGAATGGACTTTAATGGGAATTGAGCGGTTGACTGGTCAAGCAATTAGTAATTCAAAACTGTCAGTGAATTAAAAATATCCGAAATTTAAATATATACCTTCCGTCTATTGCCATTTGCATGCTGAAGCGCATCCAACCCGCCAGGCCCAAGACTTTTACTCCGCATCTTTTTATCCGATCGTGTCGGTCTCTGCGGCGCATTTCTCTGCTCGTTCACAACGCTCAGATCCGCAGTCATATTTTCCTTATCAACGCCAGATCCAACGCCAGGACGGGGCATCTGGGCGAAAGACCGGCGAGACCTCACACGCGCAGCCCCCGCAGAATCGTTCTTTGTCGGCGCCATGCGTTTGCGGGATGGGATGTAGGAATAAATGTAGGAATATGTGTTGTAGCGGAAAGGGAATTGAGTGTTTAGCAGGTTGATAAATATGGATTAACGTCCACCATTGCCCACGCGCAGCCAGCCCGAAGTATTACAGTATTGTATATATGTATCGTTATCCGGAGTTGTCGTCCCCAAGTCAAGAGTTTCCGCAGTCTCGTCGCGTCATCCTGGAAATGACGGAGCTACCGAATCTAGACTAGCGTAGTAAACAAACCGAAAAGCCCTAGCCGAGGGACACTAGCACGCATCCGCACTAGCGCGGCTCCAGCACTCCCACATTCAATTCGGCATCGTCAAACTCCGCACAAAACTTGTCAATCTCGGACGACGACATCGCCAACGACCGACCACTCGACACACCTCGCGCCAGAAATCCACCAACTCTCTCCCAGAACCCCGTCCCGCGAGCCCAGTGTCGGATATCTTGATCTTTTCGCAACCATGGCGACCGAGTTGACCGTACAGTCGGAACGTGCTTTCCAGAAGCAGCCGCACATCTTCCTCAACTCTAAGCAGAAGTCCAAGAGCAAGAAGGTCGGAAAGGGAGGCCGGAGATGGTACAAGGACGTGGGCTTGGGATTCCGCACCCCAAAGACTGCCATTGAGGGAAGCTATATCGGTACGGAGCCAGTTTCTTTTGAATATATAACCCGCGCGAGTTGCGCGAGCACACACGCTTGAGATGTTTGAAATTTTCGTTGGATTCGCGGAATTGAGACAGTATGGGAAAATGGAATGGACGGCTTTATGGAATTTTGGCTGGATATGCTTTTTGGCCATTTTTTGGATGGAAGAAGCCGCCGAGATACCGTGCTTCTATTCTATCCATTTTTGGCGCAATGCGACCCAAAAATTTTCGATTTCTCAACGATAAAATCAAGTCATCTCTAACTCAGTACATTGAACTACAGATAAGAAATGCCCCTTCACCGGCCAGGTTTCTATCAGAGGTCGTATCCTCACCGGCACCGCCGTCTCAACCAAGATGCACCGAACCATCATTGTCCGCCGCGAATACCTCCACTACATCCCCAAATACTCCCGATATGAAAAGAGACACAAGAACATTGCCGCCCACGTCTCCCCAGCTTTCCGTGTTGAGGAAGGTGACCAGGTCACTGTTGGGCAGTGCAGACCTCTCAGCAAGACTGTATGTGTTTGATTTGACATATACCTTTTTTTTCTATTTCCAGGTTATGGTTTTCCACGGGATTGCCATTTTGTTTTGCAAATGCAGAAAAAATGGACGAAAAGCGCGGCAGGTGTTATTGCCGTATGCAAGCACTTGTTATTTAGGAGCGGCACTATTGGTATATCTTGACATATGTATGCGTTTGTACTAACTCAATATGCTTTTGCTAGGTCCGATTCAACGTCCTTCGCGTCCTCCCCCGCACTGGCAAGGCCGTTAAGCAATTTGGAAAGTTCTAGATGCTCGTTGATCTGGAAGGCGTTGCGGGGGTGGGGGGGGTGAGGTTGTTGGTGTGGAGCGCTGGGTTGTACGAGGGCCAAATGACAAACGAACCTGCCTTGATGTTACGGAATATGTTTTTTATTGAGGATTAAAAAAATAAAAAATGATAGAAACGACAGGCACAAGGACAAAAGGTACATGGAAAAACGGCGCGTGCCCCCAAAACGACACAGCTCACGCTTTTTTTTCAGTCCTTTTCCTGAAAGGGGCGGCTTGTGCATAATTCTCTTTTTTTTTGTTTTGTTTTGATTTCTCCCATATAGAGGGGGAATTATATTCCAATACTAAGTAAGGAGTTTAGTTGTCAAATGCCATGTGAACCTTTTTCAAATTTCACTTCTGCGCGCTGTTCTCTTTCTGGCGTAGCACACACAACCTTGGAGAACAAACCCTGGACACTTTGATGCATATTAAAGTCATTAAGCAGGAGTTGCGAGCCTATCGCGCTTTGCAGGCTGGGACGCGAAGAAATTCCCTTCCCCGGTACCTCCTCTTCATCAAGTTCCCGAACAGATAAACTACAAAGTTACTAAACACAACAATTATTCTCACACAGAGACCCTTAAATTTACAGCAACCCGGGATATAACAAAAAGCACATAAACAATAACCCGGGGATAACCAAATGATTCCGCTTGACCAATTTGAGAAGCTTTCAAACCCTGGCCGATGTGTCCGCTACCACCCCATCATCCGATTAACTCGCTCCCGGTCCAGTGCAAATACATTTGCCACAGCCTCATTTCCTCCCAGCTCAACTTCCACTGACTGCCACCTATATGTCGTCTCTGCTCTCTGTGTGACTTCTTCTGCCACCTCGGACTCTGATTCGATGGTGCGGCGAAGCTCTTCCCGAAACCTGTCCAATGCCTCTTCTGCTTGATTGATTTGGTGCTCATGGTGGTGGCTTTCTTCCTCATCCTCTATTACTACCAATTCGTCTAATTCCATGGCATCCACGTCCTCCACCTCCACATCCTCATCATCTTCGATAACCACGACTTCCTGCACGTGCTGATCGTTAACTTCTGCATCAGTGTCGTCATCGATTACAATAATTTCTTGCTTCCTTTCGGATTTCTGGGGCGTTATTGGTGGTGTTGTGAAGGGTATTGCGGATGCCGATGTCGAATTGCTGTATCCAAGCTGGACCCCATCAAGAAACTCATCATCTTGAGCATATCTAGTTTCACGGGTGAAACGCCAGCCATGTGCAATTTTCACGGCAACCTGGTTGGCATATTCCACGGGTAAGTTGATGATCCTGAGAAATTTACCTACAGTCACTCCAGCAGCATTATTAAACTTTGTAGGACTATCCCTGAGTTTGCAATGAAGAGGGTTACGGTTGTAAGTAAAAGACGCTATGTCTTTAATCTGGAGAATAGAGCCAATATCATGGTGAAGTTCTGCAATCTCAAGGAGTTCTGACTGAGTTATTGTACAGACAATACTTGATTCCGGGATCTCTCTCCAAATAAGCCATTCTGACCATCCATAATATCCTGGGGTAATATCAGAAGACAGGGGTTCTTTGCTGAGGATATATTGCGCGGAAAATATCCCATTTTGGTCCAGCTTGGAAGCATCAATTATTGACACTCTTGAATTCTGACCCTTTGTCAACATTCTGTGAACGCAAGGCAGCAGGGTGGAGAATGTTGAAATAAATGGAGAGTTGACTTCGTATCTTGACAAATGGGTTTTGGCCATCGCTTCAATGTCACGCTGATGGTAGAGCGAGGGGTGCAAGGTATCAGCAAGCCCCGAAGAAAAATACTGGGGATCATTGATGCCGCTGCTTTGCGAGTTGAAGAAGCGATACAAGATTTGTGGCCTTGTTCGGGTTCTGTCATATCTTGGCTTCATCCCTGCCCTAGGGAATTCCGCTCCCCGGGCGCATGCAGGTTCAATGGCAGGTTCAATGGCAGGTTCAACTACTTCGTGGGTAGCGTAGGTGTCGGCGTCAGGTGTTGGGTTAGATTGGAGGCTACCATCTGTGCTAGGACGAAAGAAAGACTGTAAAAGTTGGAAGCCTGGGCCTTTTGGCTTAACTGGGCTGTCATCACGATTCCTTCGGTGTAAATGAATACCAAGCTCTGTAGCGGCAATTTCAATAACTCTCCGGCATTCCTCATACTCTTCATCATCAGCAAGGGACGCTGAGTTCACAGAGACCCAAATGAGATGTCTCCTATACAGCATGTCATAATGCTGTGTATTGACAGTGGTGACAGGGAGGCCATCTTTGAAACCCACGATCTCTGTATCAAAGATGTGGTTGAAGATTTTAGTTTCATCTTTCTTTGCAAGAGAATAAAACCGTCGAAGAACACACAACACCTCTCGCTGAGGATCCGTCCACCTATGCCTTAGGGGTTTAATATTTCCGAAGTCTAGGAAAGATGGATAATATTCCTCATCATTGTTCCGGTCTGATTGGGATGGGGATTGAAGCTGTGGCACCTCCATGATGGCAAGAAGATGAGGTTAGGCAATAGAGCGGCGGGATATAATGGACACTTTGGGACCTGAGAGGAGAAGGATGAGAGTGGTTTAAAAATTCAATGAACCGTGGCTTTGATGGAGGTAGAGGAATGTGTATGATGCGATAACACAACAACAGCACCGCACCGTCATGACGCCCAAGGAGTGAATGATGAAGGCATCTAGGACAGGGTTGATCAGCCACGGCATCCATCATTCACTCCACGGCATCATTCACTCAATGGCAGTCTATATACCCCACGCGAGGAGCGTTTATAAGCACATTCAGTCTCAGATATGGATGAACATTGTTAACGCAATAGCAATGTTGATTTGATAGCAAACAAGTCATAATAGGAACTAGAGATCAAATACATCATCAGCTCAAGATCTTGTTTGAAAGTTTGGTGGCTTCAAAAGGAAATCGAAGGAAAGTGATTGGGACCAGACTCCCTTTCAGTGAAGGTAGAGAGGTTTTCATTGGATGATTGAAAAAAAAAAAAAAAAATGAGTGTAATCCCCAACGCTATCAACTTAAACAGCTAAGTTATATCTCAAGGGCCCAGCGATTTCTTAATATTGCCTTGTTGCTAAAGGAAGAGCGAGGAGTTGTTTGACTGTATGAATCCACACACGTGATCTCGGCGCAAACACCCTAGCCCGGTGGTTATATAGTACATTTTTCACTCAATCGATTGCTCCAAAGTAGCCCAATATTACACAATGGAGAACTTCCAAGCCGTCCAATATCTTGAATCCCTACTGGGAAAAACACTCAGAATTCATACGATAGATACAAGGCTATTCGTCGGCACCTTCAAATGCACAGACAATGTAAGCTCACCTACATCTAGCTCTTAGCCGGGAACCCCCCCCCCCGCTATATATAAATAAACCCGAATCCTTCCCCTTAAAAAACTTAACCAAAAGAGCCAATACCTTCCATGAATCTGATATCTAAACACGAATACATATCTTCCTACCAATAGGATCGAAACATTATCCTCTCCGCAACCCACGAATACCGCTATCCCTCCATCTCTCCTGACATTGAAACCGAACCCGCGGATGTCGCCAGAGACGATCCTGCAGCTACGGGCATTGTCAAAGCCGATATGACCAGTCGCTACATCGGCCTAGTGGTTGTCCCCGGCCAGTATATCACCAAGATTGAGCTGGATGAATATCGACCACAGCAACCGGGGGGGAATCGCCAGGCACCGTTAAGTTGAGAATGCCGAGCAGCAGCGTGCACTGACTGGGTGGAAATTACAATTGCAAGCGGGTTCAGAGAAAGAGAGGGATAAAAAATAGAACCACATTATCCGGGTGATCTCAGCCATTGGGAAATTTTTCTTAACAAAAAGCTCTCTCCATCCGGCTACCGCATATCGACTCTACCCCCTGCGTACCTACCTACTCTATATCTCTCGGGGCGACACTAACATATATCCAGCCGTGTACTACGTTGAAATCGGACTTTCTGACAAGCCATGAGGGGGAACAGTACATGTACAATCACATTAGGCACAGCAGAATCCTTTTATGTTTTCACCAATTTCACGATCGCCAGGTACTACATTAATGTTTTTCACGGCTAACCGAATGTCATTCCCCAGCCCATAAATGGAGACACGGAGGAAACGGAGGGCCGCGCGGCAATGAGAACGGTTTGTCCTCTGTCCGTACGTGTGTGCACAGCGAGCACGGATAATTAAAAGGTGGGGGGGTGCGAAGGGTGGACGGGCCGCTGCGGTGACAAGGTATCAATCAAATCTTTGACTGCCGTTGCGAGAGAGACATCGAGTCGGAATCGAGCTGAGACAGTGATTAGATCGGGCAATTAGCTGCTTTCGGATTTTTGTGGAAGTGCCAATTGTTTTGGAGAAGGGTTACACGACAAAACTTTTTGTGCCTTTTTCGTGGGATGACCTGTTTCATGACGAATGGCCCCCTGCCATTAATTTCCCGGTTGAGTTTGCAATTGGAGGGATGTTGTTTTGTTTCCAATTGTTACATTTGTGGTGTTATACAGACAGAAGCAAATATTTAGTAGGAGTGTGTGAGGCTGGCTAGATTACACATCCCATCCTACATTCCATGTTCGATTTATGTAGTATCCATTTGTGAATAACTCTGCAGTATTGGCGACCACAAATAGAAAGAACATTTGCTTTGAAGTACAGAAAATAGAAGAGTTCTACATTGCAATGTTCAAGAATGTAAAGGTCTACATACCCACAGTGTTGGGATCCAAAACCGGATATGCAGAAAGAAAGTGCCCAGGATCATTTGACGATCGGGGAAATGTAATGGCTAGATAGAGAGGACAACTCCTCTTGGTCAGTTTTCACGCTTAGATAGATATCTTACTCTCGCTATCTGCTGCTGGCAGTGTAATAAGGGTTTCAACTCCGAGTTTTGTATATTGAGGAGCATGGTTGATCGCGTTGGTAAAATTGAAGAGTAACTAGGAAAACGAAGAAACTGACGACGGACAAGAGGCTGAACATGCCTGGATGACTAGGAACGGAACTTTAGTTAACTACTCTGTACTGATTTCATAAACAAAATACATCCCATTTTCAATGTACATGGTAATTTGTCTTGTTGTTTAAAGCTGAACATTGAAAATATGAAAGAGAAAAAAACATGATAAATGAGGGGTATAGAAGCGCCCAAAAAAAAAAAAAAAAAAAAAAAAAAAAAAAAAAAAAAAAAAAGAGAGAGAGAGAGAGAGAGAGAGAGAGAGAGAGGAATAAGAAGAAAGAAAGAAAAACGGAAGAAATGGTAAAAACGGCGTTGCGAGCGTGTGCATATATGGATGGAAAGAAGGCAGAAGTCAGAACAAAATTTAGCCTGTAAAAAAATACATGGTAGGCTTCGGGAAGTAAGTTGTATCAGAATCGAATTCAGCGAGCAAGAGGCAAGCCAGAGAAGAAAAGAAAATTGGTTTAAAACAGGATATAGATATGGGAAAAAAGGGGGTCCAATACTGTGAGTTAGGAAAACGAGCCTAGAGAGAATGAAACGGGGGGGCCATGTACGTGCAAGATGAACAAGGATATATATAGATAACCCAAAGTAATCCTCCAAAAAAAAAAAAGCGTGCGAAGTTGTTTTGCAAGCAACCCGGGCACTAGAATTTCGTGTTCCATTGTGAGCCAAAAGAAAATAGCGGCAAACGAGTACTACTACGTCTCCTGGTTAGTTCCAGCGACCGTGTGAATTGGCACCTTGATTCTGTGCGTACAACTGCCCCGCAAATGTAGTGGTGGAGGGAGCGCTCTGGGAGCGTAGGGCCGTAAGAGCGACTTCTGCCGCATCCTCTTTGGCGTTGTTGGTATTCTGGCCGTCGTAGAAATAGCGGGCAGCAAAGCTGGTGCCCTGAATTGTGACGGTGCTAGACCATGCGGTGCGGCCGCCTGAGGAGAAGACAGATGTAGAAATGAATGGGTTAGTAGTGGCCTTGACTTGTTCAGAGATGCAGCATGGGGTTCCTTTCTTCTTCTTTATTTTTTTTTGTCTTTCGTTTCTCTTTTTTCTCATTTTATTGGATGAGGGCAACGAGAAATCAGGTAGATGATATTGAATGTACGTTTCTCACAAGATCTAGGTCGGAGAGGTGGACGGGCTCAAGATGACGGGGCAATTCTTTTCTCTCTATTTCTTTCTAAGACCCAAAAAAAAAAAAAAAAAAAAAAAAAAAAAAAAAAAAAAAAAAAAAGGAGGGGAACCACCTCGACGATCGGACATAAGGTTGAAAACTGGAGCCTGCATTTGGCTTATCCTGCAGTGTTCTTCGGAGGATTTTTAGTACTTGAACAATGTGGGAGGGTTTCTTTCAATTGTCAAGGACATTGTCGGACCTTGAAGCTTCTCCTGCCATGTAATACGTTGAACGCCATTGGTGCGGGGAGCAGTATTGGCGGTGGCGAGGCTAGCCATTATTGAACTCTTGTTTCTGAAAGAGGGTGAGAAGGTAGAAGGGAAATTCTGGTGCAATGAGCTAGATCGGAACGATAATGGTATCCGTGAGGTTTGAGTCGTTATATAAACAGGTGACAAGAAGTAGGCAAAATGTAAAACCAATTTGAAGAGGAAACAAATATATTAATATATTTGAAGCGAGGGAATCAAAAAAGTATTTTCTAAACACAAAAGAGAAAGAAAAACTTTTTTTCTTTTTTAGGTATTTTGAAGGATAAAAAAACCGAGGAGGAGAGGAGGAGGAGAACCGATAGCTCTAATATAAAGGAATTGGGGAGGAGCGGAGAGGAGGGATGGCAAACCACATCAATGAACTTCTATAAAGTTCATTATTTACTGCAAGAACCGCACCGGAGCCCAACCAGTCAGTCCAAAGAGGATAGTCTTATGCAAGATTGAGTCAAGGTGACGAGTGTGTATCGTTAACGTCCACATTTCTCCTTCCTACACACCACACCACCTCTGGCAATCATCGAGCCAGCTTTGGAGCGACATGACATGGAGAGAGCCCATTGATCCTCCTAGGAGGAGAGGCTGATGGAACGGGCCGCTGCCTGGCGCTTTCCATTAGGTTCCGAGTTGAACTCCAGGAACTAGACGCCTGGTTAACTATGCGCGCCGGCGACAGGAATCAAAAGCAGCTCTCCCAAAAGGGCATGTTAAATGACGGGGATTTGTAAATGGACTAGCCGGTGGACAGCAAGCCAGACCCCCCCCACCTCGATGGAAAAATGGAATGGAGCTGTGAGAGGGGCTCTTCCGAATGCACCAAAGGTTGGCTTGCCATGGATGTGCTTGAGTAGCTCGAGCTGGGGCTTGTGAGCTCCCTCCAGGCGATGTAGTGTTAAAAAAAAGGGGGTGTATAGGATATTATCAACCACACGAGCGCTGGATTCAAATGAGACAGGCTGTTGAACCTGATGGTTGGGCAGCGGCCAACCAATTTGACGAACCCAGCAAAGACTTGCCAGCTCATCAAAAATAAAAATAAAAATAGAGATGATGTGCCCTTGACAGGCACGAACAGCGCAAAGGAGATATGGTGAGGCAAGAAAGCGCCGACAGAGGGGGGTAAGGCGGCCAGAAGAAAAGCTTGAGTGAGTGAGTGAGTGTGTTTCGCCTCCAACTCGTGAGGGAATAAAAAAAAAAAAAAAAAAAAAAAAAGGTCTAGCAGGGTTTCAGTTCTCCAGCGTGAGCCTGCTAGACGGATATGGGAATTGTAACTGAGCAAAGAAAAAAAAAAAAAAAGAAAAAGAAAAAGAAAAAGAGCAGTGGGGAATCCTGACGATGGAGGGGTTGTTAGTTATTACAGTCAGGTAGACGGTGGATATCAGCAAGTAGAAAGCCAGATAACGGGGATTTTACGGGCTTTCCAGCAAGGCCGACGTGCAGCGAAATCCAAAAAAAAAAAAAAAAAAAAAAAAAAAAAAAAAAAAAACGCGGCACCAGCTAGCGGGGGCTTTGGCATGGAAAATTAATTAGCCTGCCGTTCGCTGTCGATGGCCTCCAAGGCCATTCCGGGCTTTGTTGCGGTCTTGATTCGCTGCTTTTTCTTTGCTCTCTCTTGCTGAAGCGGAGGTTGGGCACTCATACCTGCATTGTCAGCACGACACGCTCCACAGCGAATGCGCAGAGATGGAGATTGGAGATGATTGATGGAATGGCTCCAGAGCGAGAAAGGGGCAGAAAAAAAAAAAAAAAAGAAAAGAAAAGAAAAAGAAAAAGAAAAAGAAATCCAAGAATCCAAAGAGGTCGAATGAGGACTCGAACTTGTTGGAGCTAACTGCTAACTGAGGGTAAAGTGGTAGTTAACTAGTTGCACGAATTCGAGCTCGAAAAGACTTGAGAAACAAAAAAAAAAAAAAAAAAATTGAAATAAGCCCATGTAACCCCCCCCCCCAGTTGCTTGCTGAGATAGCTGCATTTAAAAAATAAAATAAAAATAAATAAATAAAAATAAATAAATAAATGACTATTCGATATGATAGTATGATAATAATACAAGAAAAGGAAGATGAATAATTACAGAAAAATGTTGCAATATCATATCCATAGACATGGCTTAAGCTAGTACGTTATCTCCAAAAATAGGACACAATAAGACAAACCCGCATGAACTTCGTAAAAAGAAAACATATAATTCTAGCCACGTTTCATCGTAAACAGGACCTGTTTGTCTCCAAAAATGCTGCCCATTCCAGCGGTCCCGGTAGCTCCTGGAGGGGTCCAAGACATGGTATTCGATGGCCACCTTCGTAGTGTCCTAGTCCCCCTGTAACGCCGTCTGCACAATGATCGATCGTATCCTCCCTCCTGCAAACTAAATGGATTTGCGAAAAAGAAAAAACAAAAAAAGAATTGAGAAAAAGAAAAATTTTATGGTTCGTAGGAAATGCGCCATTTCCACGTACATGAACCTAGCCTCATCGATATACTCCAGGGCAGGCTTTCTTACATGGCAAAAGTGTGACAACCTGACCCCCTCAATTGCTCTATTCCAGCATGGCGAAGATCTCATTCCCGACTGCAAAATAGCAAAAGTCTCGATGTTCTGGTACCAAGCCATGAGTTCCACGTCAATAATCTTATGAAAAAGAAAAAGAATTAATAACAAGTACATGAGAGAAGATAGTGCAGCAATGGAAAAATACAATAGTGGGAGCAATCAAAAAGCCCGATATAGCCCGTGAAAGAGAAAGACAAAACCTGATTCTTAAGCATGAGCAAACATCTGGCGAAATGAGCTGTGTCGAGATCCAGTCGAGCCACGACGGTGGAAAACCTTCTCTATAATTTTGTTCGAGGCCACAGAGTCCATACTCTTCATAAATGATGAAGTCATAGGAGTGTGGGAGAGTGAGGTCCGTTTGTTATTCCAGCGGCGCTTGATACTGTCGTCCACCAATGCAATAAGCCCAGTGGCAACGACGACACTAAAAAACATCATGCATTAGAATATGTAATGTACCTCAGGGGCGCTGTGAAGTGGCAGGTAAACAAGCTACTTACTCAGCAACATCTTTCATGCTTTCATATAATGAAGGGTCGCTGATCCACATAGAGCAAGGCGGAATCCAGCCGCCTTTGCTTCTTTCTTCCAGAGCTTCCAGTGGAGTCAGACGTTCTGTTAAAATATGTGCAACTGGTTTTGACTTTGCTACATGATAGAGGTCAAACGAGATTTCCTTCGAATCTCCATCCCTTCGACTACTTCTCTTCCATTGATATCTCGTACTCCAATATTCGAAGTCGTAATGTTTGGAGCCCTTGGGGCCTCTCCGCTTGACATCGACATGCGCATAATTGGAGAACTCGAGTTGGATAATGTTTGTCGGCTCGGGGCTTTTGGGTCGCGATAATGATTCTATAGAATATCTCCTGCCATTGCCATTCTCGGTGCATTCTGTTGATGGTTTATATCCCGAGTTCTGCCTCCATAGCCCATTCGTTGTGGTGGCTATTGAATCTGATTTGGAACGCAGAGTGGAGAAAGCGTTGGTCAAAGGTCGTTGCAGAGCAGTGAGCATTTCTGCAGACGGCTGGTTGAACTTCCTCGCTGAATGGCAGACCTCTCTTCCGGAGTCTCTGCAATACCGTCGAAGTGAGAATTTCCTATTTCCCAGATCGTGCATGCGGAGATGAAACAGCGTGATGTCGTACTGACGCCCTCCTGGCTGAACCGCAATGGTATCAATGCGTAGGTTCATGTTTCCATCAATCGTGGTATCATCGTGTCTTATAAGAAGTCGCCTGGGGGATGGGAACAACTCTCCAAACGTTGGTGGGGATGAGGGGATAGGATTCGATGGAAAATCCTCATATCTATCTGAGACAAGTTCGATTGGTGGCTCGTCGTCTATGTCCTCTTCTGTTTCTGATAATATTGTCGATGCATATGTGTCTGTTGATTCTCTCCCATTAACTCCAACCTGAGGGTTGCCTTTTCCTAGATTAATCACCATAGGTGGATGGCTGTAAGCGGTTTGATAAGTGCTATGTGACTGATTAGATCTATGTCTAGACGCCGAAGTACTAGAACTATCATTCCTCGCCGCAGGGTCCTGGGCAATGCTCAGGGTCGTTGACATGTTGAAAATGTCCGAGTAGAAAGTTGACGTTTACTGGGAACGACGATAACGGGGATGTTGGGAAACCAGTGAAAGTATAACGTTATCCTGAATGAAAAAAATAAACGCAAGCCCGGAAGTGAAGCGGACAAGTACAGTACATGACAGTTAAAGAGCTTTGAAAATGTAAATAAAGCTCAACAACTTGACAATATCGGAAGATCGAAAATATTGTGACGTTGAGGTGAGGGCTTGCTTATCCTGCTCCACACCGGTACAATGCGGAGCGACACGTCGTCGAGTGGTGCGAAGAAGAGCGAGCGAGTGGGCTGTTAACGTTTCACTAGATGAGATTGCGGTCGGAACACCCCAGACAGTCCAGGAGGATACCCAGGTGGTTGGTCATAGGGGAGTAACACGAAGTTGTTCTGGCCAGCACGAGTTAGAGGGGCCAAAGACCTATCATTGGCAACAAGAAGGGACTCAACTCCACAGGGATTGGGCAAAAAGTCAAGGATAGGTAATTATTGGGGGTTATGCTTGCTGAAAATACCACCGCAAAACACCACTGTTAGCTAACGGGCGCCAGGCCCCAAAACCGGCTCGTACACCACACATGCACGGAATGCAGAATGACGATGTCGATTCGCGATGGTGAGTGGGATGCCCTTTTGGCTGGTACTTGGCAGCCAATGGGGGTTGACTCGGCCAATGAACACAGCCACTCCGCGTTGTTGCAATCAGCGCTTTGGCCCATCATACGGGTTCGGTATGTGGCGATGCGCTGGTCTAGTGGGCTCTAAATAAAGGGCTCTAAAACGCTACTAGCGGGATTGGACACTGCCAGCGATCCCCCGCTCGTGTCTCTCTAGCCGATAACCCTGCTGTCCAGTCATAATATCCAGCGGGATTTCACATACGGCTGCACCAAAGGGTTTTCCACTGTGACAGGCTATGATAGACGATGGCTCTTACCATGTACCTGGGGGGGTTGTGTTTGTCATCTTATTAGGTCGAATATTTGTTTGGTTACTTTGCCGTTCGCCCTTCACTCGGGGGTCGCTTGCATAACCGTCGCATCATGACTAGAGCATGGCGATAATGACATGGAGACCTGGGTTTGCTTATTGCTTGAAAAAGTGCAAAACCTCAAGGCAAAGGGAAGAGGCAGACCGGGAAAAGCAAATACATACTTATCCACGTCTGCAGATCAAATCCAGGCCAGCGGAAACCAGAACCAAGAAGACCGAAACTCCAAGCAATTATATGTACAGTACATACAACTCCAGGTACGAAGAATCGCAGGGTCGATCGCTGGATGACTATCGTCCAAGTAAGTTTTCAATATGCCCGTCGTTGTGTGCCAGTAAACTCGCAGATATCTGGCTTCCAGCCAGGAACCAAGCAGGTACGAAGCAGGGTTCGCAGACTCTGCATCGAATAAAGAAATGTCAGCCTTTTCTGTACGCCAGGTTGTACCCAGAGGGCAGCCCGCTTGCCCTACGTTTCAGGCTCTGGAAGGTAGATAAAAGGGACTTGATTCTAGTTACCATAATGTTCATAGATACGGTCATCCAGCTGCCTCAAATATTTTGATCCAAACAATGAGCCCCTGCAGAATAGTTCCAGCTAATTTAGCTTTCTCTTGTGAGCTGAATGGTGGGATTTTCAATTATTTGCTGTCAACTTCATTAGGCCTTTTTGATCCGACTATGGACAGCAAAGCATATTTGCAGCCTTGAAGTGAATTGCTTGATTTCAAATGTTTCAATACTTTATCCTGGTTTTAATCCTTGTGTACTCAAAGTCCAGCCAATTTTCCGACAGATCTTCCATTTTGATTCCAGGCTGGGAGCCTGAAAATTGCCTCGATCACTTCCCAGCGTATCCACGATTTTGTTGCAAGAACTAACCTGTGTCTTTCTCAGTATGTCAAAATTCCACACTGGCAGTCAACATTCGAACTTGAGCACGGGAAGGCCTAACTTAACTTGTGCCCCAAAGGTTGGCCCTCGAAATGCTAATGACAGCAAACTTGTTTCTGTCTGGACTGATGGCCTGTCCAATTGCAAATTTGAGAGGGGCTGTGTGTTGGCGCCGGCTTCTTAATCACGTCCTGAACCAAGTTCCGGACAAGGTGTCGCCCGTCGCCCATACCTGCTTGAAAAGCCGGTTCTCCGAGTTCGTAGGGTTAGAGATTGTTCAATCCGCAATTCCACATTCCAATAATTTGTGGCTCAATTGCTCGCCCTAGGTTATGCGTCTGTTGCTTATATGTATTTATTTAACTCTAGCTGTCAAAAAGTTCTGCTGCAGATAAGTCCGCAATTGATAGGGGACTTCTTACTCGGAAATAAGTTCTTGATATATCGTCCTCCATAGTTTCAAATATATATTCTGACTTGTTCCTCCTAGCGTTTGGGAAACTTCCTAGGTAGAGACTAATAACCCTCTGACAAAAAAGGGGTGTTGAGCAACGCTGCGGGATAATCGCGCGGCTATGCGAGACGCGGTAGTTCGACTATCATGTGATATCAAATGTCGTCTCGGCCGTGAGACTATGACTCAAACAACCAGGACAAATACCTATGGGTATAGCCCATATGTCCCTCCTTGTCTCCTTTCCAGGGAGAAACCTTCACGCAGAGAAATATAGAGCACACAGCAAAAAAGACATAGAGGACCAAAACCTTACAATACGAACACAATGACCACTCAACAACCAACCAACCCCACCACCACCACTACCACCGACTCCGAAATGTCTCTCCGCGCCACAGCTCTCATCACAAACCTCTCCGCCGTAACGGCGCGCATCGCCGCCGCCTCCGCCAAAGTCCCGCAAACCCAACCCCAAAGACCCCAACGCCCCGTCCGCCTGCTCGCCGTCTCCAAAATAAAGCCCGCCTCCGACGTCCAAATCCTCCACGAGCACAACCCAACCCTACACTTCGGCGAAAACTACTTCCAGGAACTGCTCGAGAAGTCCAGGGCCCTCAAGGCCCTCTCGCCCGAGGTCCGCTGGCATTTCATTGGCGGCCTGCAGTCGAACAAGTGCGTGTCGCTCGCGCGCGATGTGCCGGGCCTCTTCGCGGTCGAGAGCGTGGATACGGAGAAGAAGGCGAATTTGCTGAATCGGGGGTGGGGGGAGAGGCTTGCTGCTGCTGGCGATGCGGATGCGGATGCGGAAAATCGACTCCGCGTCTACGTACAGGTCAACACGTCTGGGGAAGCGAATAAATCTGGCGTCGAACCTGTGGAGGCGACGCGTTTGTGTCGGCATATCCGGGAGAATTGTCCGCGGCTGAAGCTGGTGGGGCTGATGACCATTGGGGCCCTGGCGAGGTCGCAGGCGACGACGCTGGAAAATGAGAATGAGGACTTTTTGTGTCTGAGGGAGACGAGGGATAGGGTCGAGAAGGAGCTTGGGCTGGCGGGTGAAGATGGGGAAGGGGAAGGGCTGGAGTTGAGCATGGGTATGACTCAGGACTATGAAGGGGCGATTAAGATGGGGAGTGATCAGGTTAGGGTTGGAGCTGAGATATTTGGACCCCGGCCCCCGAAATTGGAGGCTAAGTTGGTGGAGAGGGAGAAATCTTAGAGGACGATCACGATCGGGATAAAAGTTGGATATCTGGTGTATTTATGATTAAAATGAGACTATGTACGGAGTTTGTGACTGTAGATTACTAATTAAAAAGACTCCCACCTCAGTTCTTAAATTACATTTGAAATTATGTACACGTATAGAACATACACATAACTATATATGGGTATGAGTCCCTTCGTTCACGCTCTACCAAGACAACTGAAATTAAAGAAGGCAAAGACCAGATGGATAATTCAAAAGTAATTGTAAAGAAAAAAGGGAGTGCCATCCAAACGAATAAACAAATCAAAGTGGGGGGGGTGATGGATAGTAGGGATGTCAACAAGCTATAAATATGTATAAATGATATTTCTTTTCCCTATTCAGCGACGCTCTAGGGGATCTCTATCTATCCCAATCATCAGAGCCATGATCAACAAAGACACCCTGGGAAAGTCGCTCCTCCATCAGTTTCACCAGTGCCTGTGGCACGGCCTCTTGTGTTGCACGGATCGTTATACGGTACATCTATTTTTCCGATTAGGTATTGATATATATGCGTATATCGCGGAAGCTTCTAATAAAGGGAGGGAGATTGAGTTGAGAGGGAGGGGGTGGGGAGGGGGAAAATAGGTCACATACCTTCTTCTCGTAATTCGGTTCCAACCGCAAGAGACACCCAGTTTTGCCACTATCCATTTGATAAACAGCGCAGCCGACCAAATTTTTCGAATTCGGATCGACTCCGCTAAGGATCTTGAACCTAAACCCTTGCACAATGCCCCGTGTGAAGGACTCCGTTATTGTTCGTCCCTTACCCTGGACGGCAAAAGTCGACTGCGCCTCAAGCGGTGGGCCCCCGATCTGCCGCCATCGTTTGAAAAAGTCATCAGGCGATAAAGTCGATTCATCCATGTACTTGTGCATGAGGACAGGTAGCTGCAACGTGTATGCCTGGAGGGCGCCGGCAAGGTAGGAAATCCGAATGGTGGGCGGCTTCGTGAATGCGCCCTTGGCCTCGAAGCAGATTGTCTGCTGAGTCTGGCTCTGGGCCTGAACATCCGGATCCGGTAGGTTTTTAGAATCAACCTTGATGCTTTCGGGAGAAGGGTTATCCAACGTTGTGGTGAATGAGCCAATCGGGAACGAAGACTTATTCGTAAAGTATAACTTGCATACGCCTAAATGAACGCGGTACTCGGAACGTAGGCCAACCTGAATCTGTGCATCTTCAAATAGAACACCCTCGTCTTTGAAGTAAAGACGGTTAAAGCCGATTTCCCAGTCAGCGGAAAGATGTGCGGCACTAGCCAGATTCGGTTCCGGACCGTCTGAACTGGAGGTCAGATCCAAGCCAGCCAAGTCTGAAGATACTGTTGTTTTTGCTGTGCCGTTGGTTCCAGCCGAGGTGCCGTTTACGATTGTAGTGAAAGAACGCTTAAGTCCTGCCTGTTGGGCCAAGCTAATTTCTTTTTTGTCGGCATTGGCAGCTTTTCCACCCACAACCCATGTTCGCTTGTCACTAATGCCGGCACTCTTCTGGTGCAGTCGCGATAAGAGAACTGATGTTCTCTCCGAGAATGGTGGCATCTCATCACAAACGGTACGGAGGAGGTCGTCCGTCGGTAAGGTTGCGAGTGTTAGATACTCGCAGGCTCTTTGTTGAAGTTCTGAATCTGGTGATTGGCTGTATACGCTGAAAACACGAAGTAGTTGTGGTTTAATCTCCGGGAACAGGTTAACAAATTTAATGAATGACGAGAGGAGTAGAGCGCGAGTAGTGTCTGAGCAATAATTCAATTTGTTCTGTAGGGCCAAAAACTGTTCAATGGGACTGCACCCTTTATTGTCCGCAATTAAATGACCAAATTCACCAAGGATGTAGCCGCCAATCTTCACCAAGCTATCGTGGCAATCGCCTTTGACGTATTGTAAGAGGTGTTGAGCTGCGTAGGCTTGTAGTTCCTCGTTGTTGGTCACAATCTGGATGACTCTCTGCCAAACCTCATCACTGACATGGTCACCAGCCAGAGAGAGCAGTTTCAGGGAGATATCAATATACCACTGGGCATCAGTGGCATATTTTTCAGTCAAGATCGCAATCTTGAGAACCATTTCTTCTCGGATAGAATAATCGGCAGTCTGCAGATACCTGAGCAGTTCGTTTACGATCGGGCGCGCATTAGAGGTATCACACATGCTGTACAAAAGATCCAGGCCCTTGCGTCGAACACTGATATCCCGGTCTCGCAATGAACCAAGGATGATATCTTGGTGGGCTTTGATAGGGTCGAGTGTCTCTGCTCTCGCTGCAAAATGCGTCATGGCTTCTAGGCCAAGGTATCGAACATTAGTCTCTCGGGATGTTATGAATCTGCCGAGGCGAGAAGATATTGTCAGCATGAGGTTACGTTCGGTATCAAGGTGAATAAGAAGATTGATAGCTTCAAAAAGAACTGCGTTTTGCGCGTTGTTTTGCTGGACGTTTTTCGGCATGTCAATTGCCGAGTTCATGATTTTCTCAATGGACTGTCTAATGAGGTGCCTGACATGCGTGTCCTCTATATTAAATTCGAAAATATTAGCTCCATTATCTTCCAATCGGGGTAACGGGGATATCGGTACAGACCCGAGGGAGGATAATACTGAAGTAGCCTTAAAAGCTTCACTTGCACCCAAGGGCAGGGGACCTTGTAATATATGTAGTCCGGAGCGATGTCATTGTCGACGACGATTCTCTTAAGCCGCTGGGCGGCTTTGGCGTAGCTTCCTTTATACTGATCGGGGTTATCTTGCACCAGGGCCATCACGAGCGACAGGACCGAAAGAGTAACGCCCATGTCGGGGTCATCCATTAGAGAAATTATCCGCTCTGCCCATTCCGGCTGGACGATGCCAGGATGTTTACGATACAATCGTAGAAGCGTAAGCGCGGCCTTCTTCTTCACAAATGCCTTCGACGTACTACAGAGAAAAGAAAAAATATTGTGAGCATGCGAGCCAGCAACGGTTGATGGTTTCCTTCGCCAGAAGCAACACTCACGGAGAGATCAAAAGCCGGTGCACATCGACACCCAGGGCTTCGCCCATCTCTCTCCCACCGACATTGGCCACTGCATGTAGTGCCAGACAGTTATTAAGCTCATTATGGTCCAGCAGGTCCTTCCGGATGCTATTCACCACCAAATGCAATAACTCATGACCCTCATGAAGAAACAGCGTCACCGCCAGATACCCAATCTGTTTTTCCGAATACTTGTTCGCAGAGATCAAATTTACAGCTTCCAGGTGTCCAAAGTCGATATCATAACCCTGTATATAAACGTAGAGCAACTTGCAAACATATTTCTTCTTTTGGTAGCCGTTTAGGTTCGCGTCTTTGAACTTCTGCCGGATGTTCGCCAATTCCTTGTTGATCCGCTTCTCTTCCAATTCCCGGGCCCGCGCGTTCCGTAAGTCGGCAATGAACTGCACCAATCCCCGCATGGACGACATGGTGGCCGAAATTGTAGTCGTCCGTCCGTGTTCACCGCGGGTGAATGGTGTGTGATTTTCCCAGGGGGCTTATTTGGAACTGTCCGTAGCCAGCCAAGCCAAGCTACGCACAAGGCATCAATCACGCATAGTTCTGCTTGTCGATGCCAGAGAGTTCATACCAGCATGGCTGTGGCTCGACGAGATAGGGGGTGTGCCAGCTGGTGCAGGTCGGAGGTCAGCGTGAGCCAAGAAAGGGACTCGAGGATAGTAAGAAAAGTGCCTTGGACAAGACAATCAAACTAATACAGAGCACGAAGCGCGACAGTGTCAGGACGGGATATTATTGTCTTAGAAATGGATAATCTGGTGAATGGGAAGACTCCTGATTCTTGCTGCTGGTGCTACATGCATGTCATTCGGGTGTGTCTTGGAGACGCACGATGATGGGTGGGGCGGATCAATAGTTATGCCGGTTTCCCGCAGTTCTTAGGTCAGGTGATCTAGCTCTTTCTTCTATCGGTGAGACTAGACTGGCCGGCGGGACCATGTGATCCCATTTGATCTGGTCTCATACATTTCTTGGCGTGAATCCCAACATGTAACTATATATTAGTTAGCTGAAAAAGTAGTAAAAAAATCCTGTGAACTTTCAGTTCTAACTTCTCAGGCAGATGTCATAGTCTCTAACTACTCCGTATATACATCTATAATTGAAGAAGAAGAAGAAGAAGAATAATAATAATAATTGATGGAAAGTGATGTTGTGGTGAGGCGCACCCAACCACAACCTTATGTGGTCGGGTAAGCGAAGGCACGTGTACACAGTGTTGTCTGTCCTCTGTTCTCCTCCAAAGATATCTCAAATTTGCTGGTCTGGAAGGTGTAGGGTTTTTGAATGAAAAAATAAATACATAAAATATTAATCACCAATGGCAGACAACCGCAAATCCGTCCTGATCACAGGGTAGGTTCTGTTTAAACTATTACACAGGAACAGTTGAATTTTGCTGACACCGTCATAACGTGCAATAATATACAGCTGTTCGCCCGGTGGCATTGGCCATTCCCTGGCGCAGGAGTTCCACCGCAACGGCCTGCGCGTCTTCGCGACAGCCAGAGATAAGAGCTCAATCGCCAACCTAGCGGAACAGGGGATTGAAACGCTGAGCTTGGTCGTGGATAAGGAAGAGAGTAGGAAGGCATGCCGTGAGGAAATTGAGCTGTTGCTTAAGGGGAAGGGGCTTGATTATCTGGTTAATAATGCGTAAAGTGTGGTTCTTTTCCCCAGCTTTTCTTTTACTCAAATGTCATATGGGCCAGTATGCTAACTTTAAGAGATAGTGGGTTAAGTATGTCAATTCATTCACTGTTTGAACTGGATGTCTGAAAATAGAGGATGGCCTGCGCTGTTCGAACATATATTAATTAATCCGCGACGAACGCCAGACTACACCGTCCCCGCCTTGGACGTTAATCTCCAAGAGGTCCGAGAGGTCTTCGAGACAAATTTCATCTCGGTCATTGCAATGTGCCAGGAATTCGCCCCCCTGATCATAAAAGCCAAGGGCACAATCGTTCAAGTGGGATCCGTCGCAGGAGTAAGTGTTGTCAGACCTCTCAAAGGATATTTATTTGCATTTCCATAGTGGTTTGATCCCACTAATAGTTCATCTCAGATAATACCATACGTCTTTGGCTCTGTTTACAACGCATCAAAAGCCGCCCTGCACTCATTCAGTGATACTTTGCGCGTAGAGCTTGCGCCGTTCGGGTTCGTTGGACCCCCTTTTCCTTTCCTATACCCATTAATGGCTCTATTTGCACCCTACTCACTTGCCCCCCCTAAAAAAATTTTTTTTTTAAAAAAAAACATTAAAAAAAAGCGTCAAACCAAAACCAAACCTTCAGTCTTGACCACACAGACTAACCCCCCCTCCCCGATCTAACCACCAGCGTCCAAGTAACAACCATAGTAACCGGCGGCGTAAAATCCAACATCGCTCGCACCTCCCGCACACTGCCCGAAACCTCCCTCTACCACCCCGTCGCCGCCGAGTACGCCCGCCGCATCGTCCACAGCCAGGAGGGCGCCGTGTCCAACGAAGCCTACGCGCGCACGGTGGTGACGCAGATCCTGTATGGGTCTGCACCGCTGCGGTGGCTGCGGTGGCTGCTCCTGTGGCCGTTTGGGGGCCGCGGGATTCGCCGGAGTGGTAGGTATGTGTGGGCGGGCAATCGATCGGCACTTATTTGGCTTTTGAGTGGGGGGTGGGCGTGGTTTGGGGTGTTTCAGATGGGGATGTCGAGGATGTTTAATTTGTGGAAGTTGAGGAAGTGAGGGGGGGTGGGTGGACTTGTAAGGGGTCTTGTTTCTTTTCGAATTGCATGCTTCCTGTGATGCATTTCTGTCTCCCTTACTGTAATCTATAGTTTACTAGTTAGTTGTCCTTAAAAATTTGAGTATTCCTCTTTGGCAATGTTCAAGGAGGGTGAAATGGCAAACAACTAGTCGGCGGTTCCCCTTCATGGACTTCTTTCTTCTCCATCCGGGCATATGCGGTACCTGACTGGGACAGACCCGCGTATGATTCTCGGAACAAACAATTATGATATTTCTGCTATCCAGAAAAAAAGAAAGAAAAAAGAAAAAAAGAAAAAAAAGTTGAAACCTAAAAAGCACATAAGAAAGCCCAGAAAGAAGTGACAGGGAAAAAACATATATACATACCGAAATATGTTGGGGAGATGTGACGTGAGTGGGTGAAAAAGATTTATGCAAGAAATACAGACTCTAGAAACATGATGAAAAGGACATAGCAAAAAAAGGTAATGGGCATCCAATGACACAAAAGGGGTAGGAGGCCGTGCAGTAAATTGCATAACACGCTAACTTTTGTTTTTATTAGAGAACGTCAGAACGGGACACGGTATTAAGGCACGGTGTGCCGCTTGCATAAGCATACCACGAGATCTAATATGCAAAACGAATAAAAAAGTATATTAAAAACAAGTAGTAGAGAAGTACGTGAGAGAGGAAGGCCTTGTTTAGTTCTTGTAGTCAAGAGAGGTTTACTGTCTGCACGCAGAGTGGTAGGCGTTATCGCCGAACTCTCAGGCATGTCATCTGTAGTTTTCGTATACAAAGTGTTAGAGGAGAAACGATGAGTTTCCATATCACGTAGCTAGTGAGTGGGTGCGAGTGAGCGTGTATGGTATGGCTAAGGGATTAAAAGCCTCAGCATGAACACAGACGCATACACATACACCAGCCGCATTACCTTTTGAGGGCAGGTAGGTTGTAGACATGGTGATGGCATGTAGCGGAGCTTGTTAAGAACCAAGATGGGAAGATAACAAAAAGAAGAAAAAGAAACAGAGCTCGGACACCGTGCTTCTCTTCGATTTAAATACCAAGCGAGAATTCTACGCCCACGTCGATTTCGCGGGCCATCTTGACGACCTTGGAGAACTGGACAGATTTTTCAGCGGCATTTTGCAGATCCTCCATGGAAAAGATCTTTAGGCCAGATTCATTGATCTACATATAGGTGGTGATTAGCTTGGACCCACATTGACATTGCTGTTTGTTTTCTGTAACGAGGCGGGGGTTGTAGTTAATTTAGATAGACATACCAGCTCATGCGCTTTAGCCATGTTGGTTCCTTGCAAACGTGCAACGATCGGGGTGCGAAGGTTCATTTCGTTGACAACATTGATCAACCCTTGGGCGATGGCATCGCATCTGACAATACCACCGAAAATGTTGACAAAGATAGCAGTGACCTTGGGGTCGCTGGTGATAAGCTCAAAAGCAGATCTAATTGCCTGTGGAGTAGCACCACCACCAACGTCGAGGAAGTTGGCAGGGTTGCCGCCGTTGAGCTTGATGATGTCCATGGTTGCCATTGCAAGGCCGGCTCCGTTGACTTTGGGGGAGCGGTTAGCAAGGAAATGGTAGGCGAGGGGCTAAAATGGTAGACTTACCCAAGCAACCGATATCTCCATCCAATTTAATGAAGTTTAATCCAGACCTAGAACACATCCCTGATCAGCGGGTAAACTTATCCAAAACATAATTTGAGAAATAACGCACTCAGCAGCCTTGACTTCATCAGCGTCTTCCTGGGTAGTATCTCTCCACGAGAAAATCTCCTTTTGTCTGAATTCGGCATTATCATCAAAGCCAAGTTTCGCATCCATGGCAAGAACCTCGTGCTCAGTAGTCTCGCAAAGAGGGTTGATCTCGATTTGAGTGGCGTCCTTCTCCATGAAGACTTTGTAAAGCTTTTGGATGGTGTCCTTGGCCTCTTCCACGCACTGTTCTGAAAATCCGAGATCTTTGGCAATATTCCTTGCCATCTCATCCGTGACACCGACGTTGATATCAACGCTGGTCGTGGTAATAGCCTCGGGGGTTTCCTTGGCGACTGACTCGATATCCACACCACCTTGCGAGGAAGAAACGATGACGGGCGCCTGCGTCTGCCTGTCCATCAGAATAGCTAGGTAGAATTCTCGTCGAGCAAACTTGCGCTCGCAGATATATACGGCATTGCAGAGGCGACCTTGGGCGCCGGTTTGTTTGGTGACGAGCCTGTGGCCAATCATCTGACCAGCAAACATCTTGGCCTCAGTCGGTCTATATATCTCGAGATTTAGTATAAATTCCATTTGAAAAAAACGGGGGAAGCGATCGCGAAAATACGTACGAGTATATGACGCGCACACCACCCTTCAGGCCATTATCAAAAGTGCCCTTTCCTCGACCACCAGCGAGAACTTGAGCCTTGATCACTAGATCCTCCGCACCTATATAAACTCCTTTCTTAGCGATATTATCGCCTCTAAGTATCTAACATCAAATGAAACGTACCAATCTGTTTGGCGACAACCTCCGCTTCCTCCGCAGTTCGGGCAACTTCACCCTTCGGCACGCCAACGCCATACTATACATCCCCCCTGCGTTAGCATCTTGTCCACTGTCATGCCATTCCAACAAAGTCCCGGACCGGAGAAGTACGGTACGTACTGATTTTAGGAGGTTTGCGGAGAGGTATTCATGGATGGAGAGGTTTCTTTTTTGCTGTTGGGCAAAGCGACTTCGAATTGGCGTCCCCTGTAGGTGAGTTAGGATGGAAATTAGCATCCACCACGTACGCATAATTTGTTTTTCATCTTTTTTTTCCCCTGTATAGGCGCGGTTACGTGGTGGACGGACCGGAGGGCGGAGAGTGGGCGGACTTACTGTAGCGGCTCTGAAGGTTGCAGCAATTGGCTTGCTACGGGCGAGCTTGAACATTGTGACAGTTCAGTTCAGCACGGCGAGGAACACAAAGGGACGATATAAATGAGATGAAATTAGAGGAAGGGAGGAAGATGGAGAAATGGATGGAATGAGCAGAGGGAGAGAAGAGAAGGACAGGATTGACAAGAAGACAGGAAGAGCTGGAGTTTGGAGTTTGGAGCTATTATTGGGTGAAGGTCAAATACAATACATACGTAACTGCCGGGGAAAGCAGGGCGGTATTTGCGGGTAACTACGGTACAAGTTTCGGATGTTGCCAGCTGAGACAGCCCTGATACCGCGCTATGTATTTTATTTTAATCTTGCCGCAAAAAATACGTCCCCAAAAATACAAAGTCCTTCCTCACTCTTCTTCCCCGCAAGAGATACAACATTTGAACGTTATAGTTGCCATTATATTTCGAAAATATTTCCATAGTCATGTCTGTTTCCGCGTCTGAAGCAGACATAGTCTTCAATAGAGCAAATGTAGCCCTAGCACGTAGCCAGCGTCTCGTCGCATCATGGCTACCCCCCAAAACCGCCGAAGAGATTGCCAACACAAAAACCGAGGAGGAACTCCAGCGGGAAGAGGATGAGATATTCACCCCCGTTCCAGATAAGTGCGTCACGTCTTTATCTTATATCCGTTTCCGCCATACTGGATAAAAATCAATTTCTGTTTCTGACCAACTAACGTCGTCGTTCCAATCAGACTAGGACTTGGCGCCCCCCTCCCCAAAAGCCAGCAAGACGGTAGCTCCAACCGCACCGAGCTCAGCTCTAACGAGAAACTCCGCAAACAGCTCCTGGGCAAGAATTACAAGAAATTTACCCCAAGCGTGCCGGTGACCGGTTCTCGACCGCTGCCGGATACGAAGCTGAAACACCATCAACGACACCAACGTGCAAAACCCCAACCGGAAAGCGATGACGATGACGAGGATGAAGGACGGTCTTCGCTGGGTAGGAATAAGAGGAAGAGGGTGAGGACAGGGGTTGAGGGGGGTGATGAAGTCACTACAACTACAGCTACAAAGCCCGCAGCTGGCAACCATAATGACAACGGCGACGACAATCAATCGGACGATGGAAGTGCACAGCGCAGCACGCAGCGGAAGAAACCTGTTAGTTACCTCGATGAGCTATTAGCGGAGCGATCGAAGAGGAGGAAGAAGAAGAAGAATAAAGAATAAGAAGCAGTCGTACTAGCAGGAGTGCTACAAGCTTCCATCCAGCTATAAGCTCCGCGAAACGAGACGAGACGAAAAAGGGAAAAAGGTGCATGTACATGCATGGATATATCCCGTTTCAGCTTCTTTATTTCGCGGCTTAATTTTTTGGAAAGAATCGGATCTTTCCCCAACGCATATCGAAGAATAGCCGGTTTTACCCAGTTACCCAGTACCCCTTAAGGACGCAGTACCCAAGGTCCCAGCCGCCCCTGTGTCAATCAGTCGTCGAAGGGCCTATTGGAAAAGGACCGGGGATCCAAAAATCCAAAATCCGAAACCAAGGGGAAAGAACAACCAAAACAGTATCTACTTGGTGACGCCCATCCACCTCCCTCGGCCAGAACTGGAGCAGGGCCAGTGGTAGACCCAAAGCACCCAGCGGAAGACGAGAGGAAGAGGAAGAGGACCAGTGTACATGGGGGAGACACGAAAAGGCGAACCATATCGTTTTCATGGACGGGCGGACGGTCGGACGGTCGGTCGTCTGATATCGCCAGCGGGGCATGCGCGTTCAGTTGCTGCTAGGCATGTATATATGTATATAGAGAGAGGATTGGCCCATGTCACGCGCAGTAGTCAGATGAATTGACTGTAAATAAATGAAAGTTGAAATAAAAAATAAAAAATAATTAAATAAATAAATACATGGGTTAAAAATATGTCTCTCCATACATCGTGCTCCCCAGATACCTAGGTACATGTGCATGTACATTACATATCAGTTACTTATCCCGACATGGTATCACCACGCGTAAATAGATTGATTGATAGGGAGTGGATAGCCAGATAGACGGAGTGAGGGTCACTACCCTAGGTAGGTACATCCATACTGGTACACAAAAATACACATTCTTTCCAAAGTTAGTTATACCAAAAACAAGCAGAAAAGAACAAAACCAGGCGTGTAGATGCGACTAACATCAATCAACAAAATTGAACCGTGGACGCGAAAAAAAAAAAAAAAAAAAAAAAAAAAAAAATACCGAGCTCGTTCGTTCGCCCCGGTTTCTTACATAAATTTTCTTTTTTTCTTTTTGCCTCTGCCCCTTTCCCATTCAAGTCGGAAATAATAAACTCATTGTAATCGCTTCCTCTTCCGATCTTCTCCACCTCCACCTACCCCATCCTCCTCCGCTGTCCGCTCCGCGGTCTCCGCCGCTGGATTTAGCAGCGAATGTACATTACTAGCCATACTTGGCCGGCGCGTAGCAGGCAACGAGTCCGCCGCTGGACGAGGGAATTTCGGCCCGCCAACCGACCACCCACTTTCGGGGTTCAACGAGGACGAGGACGAAGGGTGCGCGGCGTGTGGGTGGGGATGTGGGTGGGTTTGTGTATATGTATGTGGATGTGAGAGTGAGTGTTGTGGCGCGGCCGCGACGGGGTCGATTGAGATAGGGGGTGGCGGTGGGGAAGAATGCCTGGATGCGTCTTGGTTGGTTGTGGTGCCGCGGCGGGGTCCGCCCATTTCGTACTTGGCGAGGAGGTCGCGGACGTGTTGGTGGTCGGGGTTGGGGAGGGGCGGGGCGTGGTTCATGGGAACATTGTTCGTGCTATTCGTGTTGCTTGGGTGGTGGCTGTTTCGTTGCGGAGAAGGTGGCCAATGAGAGGAAGGGTGGTTAGGACCGGAGGGGGAGGTAGGGTTGTTATTTGTTGCTCCCCAGCCATGTTCGCGAATGTCTGCAGAGGTGTGACGGCGGCCGAGGTTGGGACATGGTGCAGTCACGGAGGAGAGAGGGTGAGGGGCGGGTTGTTGGGGCGGGATTTGAGGGCGGTTGTAATTTGGCGATGAATTTGCGGCGCCAATTGATCCGTATCGACGAGGGGATACGGCAAGGTGGGTTGGGACTGGCGCCTGAGCCATGGAGGGACGCCGGCTATCATCTTGAGGCATCTGGCGCGGAGAAAGTGGGGGCCCGGAATGGAGGGTCATGCTGCTAAAGTATGGTTGTCGCCCGGATAAAAGGGACTCATGAGGATTTTCATAGGCACGGATGGCATCCAATTGTCGTGAGATCTCTCGTTGCATGTTGGCAGCTATTTATTAAACCGAGAGAATTAGTTTCATTTTCAAAGAATGTATGCAGAGAATGTTTCGCAAGAGAATATTTTGGCTCAGGCTCACCATCTCTATGAATCGCGCTATCGGGATCGGGAACAATCGACATGACGAAATGCGACATCGAATTGGACCACTATAAACCCAAGTTAGTAAGAGGGGGCAGCCCCCTTTCAGTAAAATTCCATCGAAGCACGACAAAGGTTTCCGTACTTGATGACATCGCACTAAACTCTCGGTCAAAGCTTGACACCTGGAGTTTAACTGTGAATAGTTCTCCTCCATGCGCGAGAGACGAGAGTGGAGATCGCAGATATGATGTTCCGTAGTGATCAGTCTTGAATCGATCACTCTGGAATCGGAACCATCGGGAAGTTGTTCAGCGGGAGTCCCAGGCTGGGAAGCACTTGGTTTATGTGCGGAAAAGGAATCGCGGTGAATCAAGGTCTGTCTGGATGCGCGTCGCTTGATCTCTCGTAGGCCGGCTACGTCTCCCTTTTTGAAATTGCCATTGCCGTGTTTGAACTCCCACATTTGAGAATCCGGGGAGCCCGTGTGGAAGACATCGCTTACTGTATACATCGGATGGCAGAGTTAGAAACGGCCGATTGATTCAAAAATTTAGATGATTGGAGAGGGCTTAATAGATAGATACCTTTGTGAAACCCATACATATTCAATTGTCTGACAAAGGAGGAGACATTGGTGTGCTTGAAATATTGACTATGTGATGTGGGTCAGCTACCTCCAGAGACAAAGGAATGATTGCGATCCGGGAAAGCTGGAATGAGGAGGACGTACGCGAGAACTTTTGAGAAATCCTGGGAAGGAGACATAACGAAGCTCTCGTTTGAGCTGGACCACGATATCAAATGTTGTATCGTGGGATCTTGTAGCATGCTGCGCAGTGGACAGTTGCATTAGAATAACCACAACAAATAAATAAGTAAATAAAAATTGAAAAAATGAAAAAATAAAGTAAAATAAAATAAAATAGGTCCTTTATAGTTTAGGTTAAGGGGAGGAAGAGGTTTAACAGGGCGACAAGAATGTGTCCCAACCTTACCTGTACAACTTATGTATAAAGGCGGTTTGAACGACCTTGGGTTGTTGCGCGGCGGCGGCAGCGCCCGTGGGTTGGATCTGCGCATGGCCGGCGGACTCGCCTCCCATCATCGCACCCGCACCCGCGGGCGCAGCGCCAGCGCCGTTTGTACGATTGTTATTGAGGTTACTATTGCCATTGTTGGCATGACCGTTATTATTATTGTTGTTATTGGTATCGGCATTGTTATCGGGGTTATTAGGGTTGTTGGGATTGTTGGGGTTGTCGGGATTATTGTGGTTGTTATTGTGGTTGTTATTGTGGTTGGCGGAAGTTGCTTGTCCATGTTCTGAGTCGGCGGGACTACTGTTATTGTTGGTGGGAGGAGCCATTGAAGCTGATGTAGGCGGAGATAGGTCCATGGGGTCGCCTTGTGAGAGGTGATCGGAGGGAGACATGGAGGAGGAGAGGACGGGGATGGTTCTGGACTTTCCGGGGACGTCTGTTGGGCTGGAGAACGGGCTTCGAGCGTGATGTTCTTGTAATCGATTCATGGCGAAAAAAGGGGGGAGGCGATGATGGTAATAACGGTGGTGATGATGGCGACGATAGGGGAGATATGGAGATGGTATATCGGTGGGTGTGGCATATGTATATATGTGTGTCGGAGAGGGTTGGAGGAAGGGCCCAGATGATCGCGCGCAAAGAGACGAGAAGGAGAAGCGACGCGAAGAGGGGCGGAGAGAGGGAGAACGAGGGGAAGGAGAGAGGAGGAGTTGGATTGGCTAGATAATTTAAATAGATTCGATAATAAATATATAAAAAAATATTTAAACAATATCGAGCGATTGGAGGAGGTTATATTGAGGATTGCTGAGTGGACGGGAAGACTCGTCGGGTGCGCACCCGACAGGTGCAGCAGGCAAGACTCGGGCGATTATCGCACAGGACAGGACTGGACAGGACTTGGACAGGACAGGACAGGACAGGACAGGACTGGACTGGAGGGCAGCCAAAGACAATGACAACGGCACGCATCTAGATTTCGGTAGTTATCCTCTTTGCGATGGAGTTGTCGATTGTAGTTCGTACTCCTATAGTTAGGTGGCAGCAAGTATTGGAACGGGAGTAGAGTAGGTCAGAATGGGTAGCAGCAGCTAATAGGCAAAGGCACAGTCTCGGTCGTAGTGGTAGTGGCAGTGGCAGTGGCAGTGGCAAGGGGAACGAGGTATAAGGAGAGGCAGGACTGGCATTATTGATTACACCAGCCAGTTCGATTTGTCGAGGAATGAGGAAGTGGGAAGAATAGAGAGCAGACAGAGGGAGTGGAGATGGAGGAGATTGGAGGAGGAGAGAGATATCAAGTGGAGGGCAGTTGGTTGTAGTAATGTAGTGTAGTGTACTCCGTATAGTTGTAGTGAGAGGAGGAGAAGAGAGAGAGGGAGAGTGAGTGAGTGTGTGTGAAGAAGAATAAGCAGACAGAGAGACAGAGAGACAGAGAGAGAAAAAACAAGAGATTTGATCAGAGCAATAAACTAACTAACTTATAATAACTGATTGATTGAGTAACCTAGAAACAGTTTTTCTGGAGCTGAATCATTAATCATAATCATGAGAATAATAAATAATATGGAGTAATGAGTTACATACAGTTGAACATGGTGCCAAAGAAGTTGATCATGATGCCAACTTTTGGCCCACTTTTCTGAACACACACACACATAGTTACACTAGACTAGACACATATAATATATTACAACATATATTACTAATACATTCTCAATGCTCTCTCTCATCATATGATTGATTGACCTTTTTTCATATTTCTTGAGATTCTAACTCATTCTAACTCATTCTAATAATACCTATAATTTCAGGTTTTATTCTGTAATCTACACTTTCACACTTAAAGAAACTGAATGTTGAGAGAAAGAGAAACAGCAGAATGCAGACTGTAGAGATGATTATGCTGGATACGTCTACAGCGTAGTCATGTAGAGCTGCTGTTTTTCCAGCTCGAGTTGGCTGGCACCACGATCAGTTTTTTTGGCACCACGTTCAACTGTATTGGCCCCAACCAAACCAAATCCCCCCCCAACCCACTAAGCTAGCGATGCTAAGTAAATGCGCTAAACCCGCAAAATAGAGGAGGAAGCTGGAGGAGTGGAGATGAAGGTTTACTCTGTAGTTATTCTAACTAGAATTTAATTGCTTCTGCTGTTGCTTTTACTATTGCATTTGTTTTTATTTTATATAAAAGGAAAGGGGAGGGGGGAGAGGAGAGAAACCATGGAAGTAATAAGATATAGTGAAATGAATACAGAGTAACACATGAATTACATTCAAATAATGAAGAGAAGAGAGGAGGAAAAAAAGAAAGAAAAAGGAAGAGAAAAAAGAAGCTGAAGAAAAATGAAAAAAAATGAAAGAGTTGAAAAGATGAAAAAAGAGAATAGCAGGAAAAAAATTTAAAAAAATAAAAGAAGAATAGAGTAAATAATGCTACCTATACATACACATGTCAAATATGCATTGTTACATTTTATTATAGTTGATTAATTCTTTATATAAATACTACAGAGTACACTCTTTTAATTAATTAATTGCTCATATAATAACTTAATTAATTAAACAAATAAATAGTCCAGCTGCACAAATCTGCTAGAACAATGCAGTCTGTGGCTCTGTGCTGGGATCAGTGACAATTATTAATGCTGGTAACTACTGTAGTTAGTTAAATACTGTCTCTTCTCTTCTCTTCACTCTCATCTCAGCACTCAATAATAACTTCCTTCTAATCATTATTGATATTCCACCCCATCTAACACTAGAGATAGGTACAGTGTGTACATAGTTGATTCAGTTGAACATTGAACCCTGTCAGCATCAGTGCCATCAGCAGCAGCAGCAGCAGTGATATATTATTAGCTGTCTCAGTCATGACTTCATCCCTGCATATACACAGTACAGCTCTCCCCACAACACATACTCACAGACAGCTGTAAGTAAGGAATGCCTCTTCATCTATCTATACCATCTCATCACAAATGCTCACAATCACTGTTCTTCTCTTTTCTTCCATGAATATTAATTAGTAGAGTTATACTCTCCTGCTAACTGACATCCCCCTCCAGCCTTCAATCCCTGGTTCAGCAGCTCAGCAATGAGGACTGCCATATCGTATCCAGCTTGATCCATGCCCGACTCCATGTGGATATCCTGGGCTGCTTGCCTCTCGAGCTGGCGGCTGGGATAGCCTCCTATCTGGCTCCGTGGGACATTTTCAGATATAGATCAGTATGTTGTTCTTTTATGTTATTTTTTTATTCTTTTTTTTATTTTTATTTTTTTTTTATTATTATTCTATTAGTATTTTATACCCATGGCTCCCTCCATATGCTTCATTTCAATACCCTATTAAATAAATAATAATTATAAAAAAGGTATCCAAACGCTGGAATGAAGTCCTCTCATCCCCTTCCGTCTGCAGTAGTAGCTTCTATACATACTTCCCCGAACAACAGCAATTATTATTATTCGACACAAGTAACCCAGACTGGCCCTGCCAGTTCCGTCAGGTTACAAAACGGCGCCTGGCGTTAGTGACGGGGAGACCATACAGCAAGTCCGTGTTCCCCCATAAAAAACACAAGGCTCAAACACGGGCGAGTACTCACCTGGTTTCCTATCATGATGGCATGGTTGCGCACGACCTTGGTGCCCGAAAGATCAGACTGCTATCAGTCGTGGACGGACCAATCGCTACCTATCAGACGGAGAATCGGGAATGTTTCCTCGAAGTTGCGCTTTCGTGCACGGCGGTTGCGGCTGTGACGATTGAGGGGTGAGGTTTTGACTCTTGCGTTTCCCTACCTTTATCTTACTACTTCATTTGATTTTTTTCAATGTTAAATTTCAGGAACACAAATGGAACCTGGTTCTAACCCACTGAGTTAGGTACTGCCATGTCTGGAACTATAAAACAGAAGATGAAGGCTCCTTTCGTCTACCGTCCAAAGCAATCCGTTTAGTTCTTGATGAGGATGCCGTTGCCGTACAGGTAGGAATTCATCCCACGGTTATCATCACTTGGGATTTGCGATCAAGACAGTCCAGGGAAATCAAGCATGATGCTTCCGTTCTTTTACACATATTTCTCAGCGCAAGAGACTCATCGCTGGTTCTCGTCCATTGCACAGATGATGAAGATGGGGCGCCCCAAAACTGCAACGTCGACAAAGACTTCTCCGGCATTGTTGGAACGCGCTATCTTCTCCAGGGTGCAATTCCCGCTCTGCAGGGTGTTACTACGTATTTAAAATTGCCGCCAAATGAACCTAAGATCACCCATAATACCGTGAACGTTTTCGGTAATCATGACAGATGCGTCATCGCCTTCGGACAGCCTGTAATGGATGAGGATGACAGTTGTCGTCGAGATCCTTGGGTGTACGATCGGCGTAAACGGTATATATTGGTGATACTGCATCCCGGAAAACATCAGCACAAGCAACAACTACAACTCCCAAGACGGCCACACACAACCCTCTACCACGACCCCATCCCCCAATTCATGGGATATAGCTTACCCACCTCCGCAGCAACCACATGTCCAGATGTGATCTATTACCGTGATGATATCGACCTAGGCCTCACAGTCGCCAACTATCTACCCGGCACCAGCAGCACGGGCGCCACTTTTGCCGGATCTGAGATCGAGGACATCCTAACGGATGAGTACGTGATGGCAGAGAAAGGGAGCCTGCTTATTGACGGCAATTTCTTCATGGGTGGCGATGATAGGTTTTTGGTAATCGTGGATGAGCGTGGGGTTCATGTGTGGTGTTTTGATGAGGATATTGCGCTGTATGGGGAGGACGTGCAGGGATATAGGAGAATTCGGAAAGGGCGTGCGGAAGAGCGCACGCGGAGGCGGGAGAGGGAGCCGGAGCTGGAGAGCGAAGTGGCGTGGAATGAGAAGAGTGCGACTATGAAATTTAAACAGAAATTGTTGGCGATTGGACGTGATGATACGGTGAGGCTGATAAATGAATTTGTGGGGAAGGACTGGAGAGTGAAAGATTGGCCCTGGTGAGGATGATCGCCACTCCTACAGGTATAGTAGACAAAACGGATGGCAGGCAGGATGTCACGTTTATCTCTCTCTCTCCCCCTTTTTCCCCTCTGCCTGTCTCTCCTTTTCCTCTCATGAGATGTCCGGCGTCCTCATTTTTCATGCCGGTGGGGGTGCACGTTTGGGCCGGGGAGGGATGGAAGTAGCATGTGGGAGATTTAGGGAAATGGAGGACTTGAGTGTGAAGGAAACGGTATGATATGGACAGGTTTGATTGGAAGGCCCCTTTTGCAAAATCACAGAAGAACCCCATCATGACTCCATGAGATGAGAGCCCGTCCCGTCCGGTCTATGCTGGGATTATAGTGAAGTAATTCGCGTCCTGCGACCTACAAGGAAGTGGAAAAATGGATATATGTACGCCGTATGTGTTTACATATATTTAAAAATAAAACACTCAGCTACTGGTGGGGCGGGTGCGTCATAATCATCACCATCATCATCATCATCATCATCATCATCATCATCATCATTTTTATTTTATTTTATTTTATTTTATTCATTCAGAACGGTGGTGGGTGCAGCAGTTTTTGTCCCTCCCTCCTCACACCTCGCGGCTTCCGGATATCCAGCTTGCAAGGACCACTACTCAACATCCTCAGACACAAAAACATGTCCGTCTATCTATCCAGTTATGTATGAGTCGACGAAAGAGGAGGAAAAAAAGAAGACACATATCAGCCCGACGGGCAGACTCGCTTTTCTCTTTTTTCCAGCAAGGTCAGGGTCAAGGACAAGGTAGGTGACAGCGAAGGTGAAGAAGAAGAAGAACATGCTCATTAAGGCCTATTGAGCCACACCACAACCACCAACTAGTAGTGGCTTTCGTCCGTATCCCGCATTCGGCCGTACGAGGTTCTAACTTCTAGGCAGACGGATATATCATTTAACTAGTACTCCGTACTCCGGACTACAGACAGTACATAATATGATTTCGGCCCGACAAGATACAATAAGTGACGATGTCTTTAGTGCCGCGCTAAATAAACCAACAAGAGCTAACTAGAGGTGCACGCCGCACAGAATTACGTGCGAAGGAGGTGTTCGGCTTCCACTGGTGTTTTTTTCACGGTGTTCAAGATGGTTTGACGAACACCGCTCCTTATTATTATTAGTTAGGGTTCCGGGTCCCTAACGCCGCACCGCACCCGCGGTTCTCTCAACTCCACTCAACGCAACGCAGCGCAACCTGCTGTCATACTCTGTTGTGCGGTGCGGAGTGGAAGAGATTTTTCCATTCCAGAGTTGGAATTGGAGTTCGAGAGGGAATGATGTTGCGGACTATGGAGTCCATTTGTCTTGATGTGTTGCCTGATGATGATTGCGGCCCTGCGTGCGGCCCTGCGTGCGGTGTTGGTCAGTGGTGGTCCGGTTCATGATATACATATTTCTGTATATGTATATATGTCGCCTCCGTCAGCGATGATGGGGTTTGTTTTTAATTTTACTATTCGTATCAGGTTCAGTTAACTTATATTGACTGAGTACACTTGAATTGACGAGTTTTTATTATTGTGCATTCTTACGGCGTATTCCTTTTTTTTTTTTTTTTTTTTTTTTTTTTTTTTTTTTTTTTTGGTTGAGAAGTTCAATATACTCTCATTATTGCTTTCGTTTCGTCCATATCTACCTATATATCCATACCCTTATCCTCATATATATAGATATAGATTGCAGAACTCCAGCCTAGGGACGCGGAAAACATACCTCTCGCACAAACGGCGCCGCAGATCGTGCGATGTCCCAATCGGAGAAGGCCATCAGACCCTCCCGCGCCGACGATGAGGAGCAGAATTTCGACGATGAAGTCGGAAGACTCTCCCGACGACTGACCCGGGCCTCGAGCACGATCGACCAGGATATCAGGGCATACAACCCCGAGCTGGGCACCCACCTGGACCCCAAATCACCAACCTTCAATCCGCGCGAATGGGTCAAGGCACTCCTGCGCCTCTACGAGGCCGACCCCCTATCGGCGCCTGATCGGTTTCTCGGCGTTGCGTTCAAGCACCTGAGCGCCTATGGGTGGAGCACTGGCGTGGAAAGCCAGCCCACCGTCTATAACATGGTCACCAGCATCCTCTCGTCCCTGGCGGGCTTGGTAGGTGCGAAGCGGCAGGGGAAGCGAATTGATATCCTGCGGGACTTTGACGGTGTTGTCGAGCAGGGTGAGCTTCTGCTTGTGCTTGGGCCGCCGGGCTCCGGGTGTTCGACGTTTCTGAAGACGTTGGCGGGCGAGACTTCCGGGTTCCGGGTGAGCGAGGAATCGTACTTGAATTATCGAGGTACTGTGAATATCCCTTCCTTCCTCTCCCCTTTTTTCAGATCATCCTTGCTCCTGAGATGGAGATGGGTGAGCCGAACCGAACCGATCATGCTGACAGTTCATTTTATCATGCTCAAGGCATCGACCGCAAGCATGTATTGAGGTCCATTCGCGGCGACGTCCTCTACAACGCAGAGGTGGACTCGCACCTGGCCCACCTCACTGTCGGAGAGACTCTGTCCTTCGCTGCACGATGTCGCTCGTTGCGTCACATTCCGGGCGGCTTCTCACGCGAGCAAGCCGATACCATGATGCGTGATGTCATGATGGCTGCCTTTGGTATCGCCCACACCGTGAACACCCGCGTCGGTGATGACTTTGTGCGCGGCGTCAGCGGTGGCGAGAGGAAGCGCGTTAGTATTGCCGAAGCTGCGCTCAGCGGAGCCAAGTTTCAATGCTGGGATAATTCGACTCGGGGCTTGGATAGTGCCAATGCCATTACGTTCTGCAAGAGTCTGCGCTTGCAGGCTGATTTGATAGGCGTAGCTGCTGCTGTTGCTATCTATCAGGCTCCGCAGGCTGCGTATGAGGTGAGACTCTCCACCTAGCTCTATTCTCTATTCTTCCTAACTAATTTTGATTTATTTAACTAGCAATTCGACCGGGTGATCGTTCTGTATGAAGGGCGTCAGATTTTCTTTGGAAAGACAACGGAGGCCAAGGCCTACTTTGAAAGCCTGGGGTTCGAGTGTAAGTGTTTCCCAAACGTAGGAGTGACGGAACATAGCGTTGTGCTAAGTCAATTCATCTCTTTTCAGGCCCCCCTAGACAAACAATACCCGACTTCCTCACATCCATGACGAGCCCAGGAGAACGACGTCCCAAGCCCGGATTCGAGAACCGGGTACCCCGAAGCCCCAACGAATTTGCTGCGAGGTGGCGTGAAAGCCAAGCCAGGCAGAACATCTTGCACGAACTAGCAACATATGAAGAGAACCACCCATCTGCAGAACGCCTTGAAGAATTCAACAAATCCCGCCGTGCCGAACAGGCAAAGAGCCAGCGCCTCAAGTCCCCTTATATTATCTCATACAAGCAGCAGGTGGGCTTAACCCTATGGCGCGCCTACAGAAGGCTCCTTGCAGATCCTGGATTCACTATTTCTTCTCTCCTGTTCAACCTTATCATCGCGCTGCTTCTTGGGAGTATGTACTATGACCTGAAACCCGATACTTCGTCGCTCTACTACCGTGGAGGTATTGTCTTCTTCGCAATCCTGTTTAATGCCTTTGCCAGTCAACTCGAGGTAAAATCTCCCCATTTAGTTTAACTGATTTGTTCATCTGGCGACAGTTACTAATCACACCAATAGGTGCTTACTGTGTATGCTGAACGCCCTGTCATTGAGAAACAACACAAATATGCCTTCTATCACCAGTCCACTCAGGCCATCGCAAGCTACGTAATAGACCTACCATATAAGACTGTCAACATGATCGTCTTTAACGTGGTTATCTACTTTATGGCAAACCTTCGCCGAGAAGCTGGCCCCTTCTTCTTCTTCTGCCTGACAACATACGTCCTTACCCTCGTCATGTCATGCCTCTACCGCTGGCTAGCCAGCATCACTCGAACCGCATACCAGGCCATGGTTCCCAGCTCCATCCTCAGTCTTGGGCTAATTATGTACACGGGATATACCATCCCGGTGAATCATCTTCCCGGATGGTCGCGATGGATGAACTACATTAACCCGTTCGCCTATGCATTCGAGGCTCTGATGGCTAATGAGTTTCACGGCTTGGAGTACCCCTGCGCGGATATTGTCCCCAAGGGACCCGGTTATGACAACCTTCCCAATGAGTCGATGGTTTGTTCTTCTGTGGGCGCGCTCCCTGGCTCTACCACAGTCAATGGGGATAGGTACATCGCATTGACGTATGAGTACTATGAGGCGAATAAGTGGAGGTGAGTTAACACTCCAATCTCAGAAACTAATATTCCTTTTTTGTTTTTCATGACTGCACGCTGACAACTTCCTCAGAGATATTGGAATTCTATTCGCCTTCTTGATCGCTTTCTTCGCGATGTACATCATTGCTTTCGAATATGCAAAACCGCCCAAGAGCAAGGGCGAAGTCCTCATTTTCCCGTCCGGCAAGCTGGCTCGTACCTCTGAGAAGGCTTCCATGGATGATGCCGAAATCCAGCCGCACGCTAGGAATGAATATTTCCATTCGAATGATACCAACGTAGTCACTGACTCCACTAGCTCTGGGCCGGTCAATGGCGGAGCCGTGTTCCACTGGGAAAACCTGTGCTACGATATCACCATTAAAGGCAATGGTCGGCGCATTCTTGATCATGTAGATGGATGGGTCAAACCGGGTACCTCAACCGCACTTATGGTGAGTATACTCTCCCCCATGCAAATCCGTCACGCTCTATCATTTTTTACTAAACCCCCTTTTTCCAGGGCGTTTCCGGCGCCGGGAAGACCACCCTCCTCGACGTACTTGCAAGCCGTGTGACCGTGGGCGTCGTGACTGGCGACACGCTTATCAACGGCTCCCAAACAGACTCCTCCTTCCAGCACCGTGTCGGCTACGTGCAACAGCAGGACCTGCACCTAAACACCATGACAGTCCGGGAGGCCCTGGTGTTCAGCGCTCTGCTGCGCCAATCCGCAGAGATCCCCAAGAAGGAGAAGCTGGAATACGTCGACTATGTTATCAATCTCCTTGACATACAGAGCTTCGCCAACGCCGTTGTGGGTGTCCCGGGAGAAGGATTGAACGTAGAACAACGAAAACGCCTCACAATTGGCGTTGAACTCGCCGCGCGCCCCCAACTGCTGCTTTTCCTTGATGAACCTACTTCTGGCCTCGACTCTCAGACATCATGGGCTATCTGCCAGCTTATTAAGAAGCTCACCCGCAGTGGGCAGGCGGTTCTTTGCACGATTCATCAGCCATCGGCGCTTCTCTTTGACCAGTTCGATCGGCTGCTGTTACTTGCGCCTGGTGGTAAAACGGTTTACTTTGGTGGTAAGTTGGGAAGGCCGGTAGCAGCCACGAAAAATTTAGATGCAGTGCAAGAATCATGATCGCTAATAACACGTCTCTTCTACTCCGCGCAGATCTCGGTCCCAAATCAAGGACTCTAATCAACTACTTCGAGCGGAACGGCGCCCCCAATTGTGCCACTGAAGCAAATCAGGCCGAATGGATGCTTGAAATTATCAAGCCAAAGACCGACGACACTGTCGGCATTGATTGGCACCAGGTATGGCGAGACTCTTCCGAGTTCGAAGCAGCTAAGAAGGAACTGGCACACCTCCGTAGCCTCGCAACCGCAATGAAGGCGAACGAAGGCACGCAAGCTTTGGAAGCCGCCGGTAGTGAATCGTCTCAGCACCGCGAATTTGTTGCATCGCTCTGGACGCAATTCTTGCTCGTTCTCAGTCGTACCTGGAAGCATTTCTGGCGCTCGCCTACGTACATCTGGTCTAAGATTGGGCTAATCGTTATCACGGTATGTGGGAGAATCTCCTCCTACGTTTCTGTCGGAGCGTACGATTCGAGTATTATTGAAAAGGAGACGGCTAATGTTTTCCACCTCCTCTATTTAGTCCCTTTACATTGGCTTTAGTTTCAAGGCGGAGAACTCTATCCAGGGCCTCCAGAACCAGCTTTATGCCATCTTTATGTTCCTTATTATGTTCAATAATATCAACGAGCAGATCATGCCCATGTTTCTCCCTCAGCGATCCCTATATGAAGTTCGCGAGCGACCTTCGAAAATTTACCAGTGGACTAGTAAGCCCCCCCCCCTCCCCCCCACTTCTTTTTGCCTTTTGATTCAGCAATGTATAAAAGTGAAAATAGCAACTGACAGCTCGCCATTAAATAGCCTTCGTACTCTCTAATATCCTAGTTGAAGCCGTCTGGAATACGTTGATGGCCGTCTTGGTCTATTTCTGCTGGTATTATCCAGTCGGGTTTGTTGTGAACACAACGGCTGATGACCAGACCGTCCGCGGATTCCTCTGCTTCCTCTTCTTGTGGATGTTCATGCTATTCACAAGCACATTCTCTCACTTCGCCATTACCTGGGTCCCCAATGCTGAGATTGGTGGCGTCATTGCGAGTCTTTTGTGGATATTCTGCTTGGTCTTTTGCGGGTAAGCAAGCCCCCCACCGCCCCTCTCCAAGAAAAAAGAAAAAAACCCCTTCTCTCCATCGATACAAGTCCTCCCATACATAGCCTTCACGAAAATATCACTAACATTACTTCCCCCTCCAACAGCGTCACAATCCCCAAAGCCAACTTCCCCTCCTTCTGGACCTGGATGCACCCCGTATCCCCGGCAACCTACCTTGTCGGCGGCGTCATGGCCGCCGCCCTCGCCGGCACAACCGTCACCTGCTCCGAAACCGAGCTCCTCCAAATCCTACCGCCCGCCAACATGACCTGCGGCGAGTTCCTGACACCCTTCGCGGACGCCGCCAAGGGCGTGCTGCTCAATCCAGCCGAAGCGGTGGAGGCGTGCCGGTACTGCATCGTCGCCACGACGGACCAGTTCCTGTCTCGCTTTGATATCTATTACGCGGATGTGTGGAGGAATTTTGGGCTGTTGTGGGTTTATGTTGTGGTTAATGTTGGGGCGGCGATGGGGTTGTATTGGCTTGTGAGGATGCCGAAGGGAAAGGAGCATAAGCGGGCGTAGGTGGGTGTGGCGTGGTTAATGGAAGGGGGATGGAGGGAGGTTTCTTTTGTTTTTTGGTTTGTCGTTCTTGTTTCATCTCCCCGCCCCCGCCCTTCCTTCTTCTGGAGGCTTCCTCCTCTTTTTGCGATATGGGACTAAAAAGATTGCATGTTCACAGGTGTTGGATCTGCTGGGTAATGTTTGGAACTAACCATGATAGAAACGGTGGAGCTTTTATTTTCACTTTTTCTTTCTCCTTTTTTCTTTCTCTTTGTATTTTCATTCCCTTTCTTTATTCTTTCCTTATTTTCACTACACGTCTACTGGGTATGCGTATATATTGCATGGTTACGCACCACTTGAACGCTGACATCATTAGAACGGCATTGATAACACAGTTTGCTATATTTTAAAAGTCAGAAAATATATATATAGAAATAACGAAATAGAAATATCTTTAAAGATAAAACCCTCACGAAACCCTCTTTCACAAACCCAAACCCACACTCTATTTCCTACTTTCACTTCCTCACCGATCTAAGTACCCTGCATATGCCCCACACAATCGGTACCAAGCTCAAGTTCACCTACGCCGGCGGCGGGTTCGAAATTCATAGGGTCAGCCGCCCATTCGTCCATCGTCATCATCGACGTGCCGCCGGCTGGGAACCCCCACCCAAAGAGCGTCCTGAGATCTACCGATTCTCCGATCTGGAAATCGGAAGCTGCGTCGAAGGCTATGGGCGTTGGGTATTCTAGGTAGTCGGAGTCCACGGAGCCGGTGTGAGAGCTTGGATGGGAGCAGCCTCTGGCTACCCGTATACCTGGGTCCGTTGTTGTTGATGGGATCAGAGGCTCCTTTGTTGGGTGCGGTGTTAGCGGGGGTGCGGTGTAGACATGGAACAAAAGAAAGAAAGGGAAAAAAAAATCATGGGGATGGGGAATGAGGTGGGGTAGGGAGGCAGGAAAAGTTTTACCATTTGGAAAGTAGGGCTTCCGGTAAGATATGACGGTGACCCTTTCATATTCACCTCCTGGGCGACGACAGGTTTCTCCATGGTATTGTTATCCTCCGGCGGCGCTTCAGCGGCGGATTTCTTCCTACCAGTCACCGTCCCCTTTTGGTGCTGAACCTTCCAAAAGTACTCTCTGGCAATGTGCGTAAACTCAGGCATAATGCTGCCTGGCATAGAATGGTTGGAGGCGATCCCCATAAGCGCAAAGTATCCAGCGGCGGAATCCAGAAGTGACAGATTTGTTCTGGACTCGCGATGAAATGGGTTGTGGATGACGAGATCGAAGAGAATGAATACGGCTGAGACGGGAAGGACGGCGAGTATGCTATGCATGTATATATCAGCGATATCCTGGATACAGATGAAGAGAGCAGGTTGTATAGTATCGAACTTACAACATTGGAACTTGAGGTTGTATGTCGATGTGCTTGGTCAATTCGATCACGGTTCGCGCAGTGCTCATAAGCCTCTGTTTACTCGATTGTGCTTTGGACCCGCCGTCACGGTTGAGATAGAGGGAGAGACGATCTAGAGCAATGATAGTGTGATAGTAACTGAAATGTATATGGAGCGCGGCCAAGTTGGTACTCGGAGGCGCAGAGACGGGGAACTGAGCTGCGCTGCCTGGTCTGATCTCAGCGGGGATAGATTGGCGCCATGCCTCGAGCATTTCATGGACCTGCTCAATGGTTGACTGGGAGGACTCTCGAGATCGCAATGAAGCGCTCACTGAGAAGAGAGATGTGTAGATAATAGACGTAATACGTCCGATTTGGATCAGCGAAACAAACCAGTTGAAGTTCTCGTATTGTGCCTCTGGGAATGGCGGAATCACACAACCGATATCTTCGTCTGGTATGATCTGTTTTGTTTGTTTGAATTAATTAAACCGCGCCGCTGCACAAGGCTCCACGTATGAAGTCATATAGACTCTGGGATAGTACTCACAGAGCATGTGCGGCAATGCATGCCTTGTTGTTTCTCTAAGGCATAGATAACCCAAAACACCCTGAGGTGCTTGGGCTCTGAGCTGACATTCTTGTGGTACCGAAGTTCAACGACCATACGGGCGGCATGAGAGAGAAAAAACCCATCAAGTTGCAGGGCACAAGAGTTCATAGCATATATCGACTATTTGAACGGAAAGAATTGAAGATTAGATCACCTTGCAATAGTTCAGTGCGAAGTACCACTGGTAGGTTTCTTACCATTGCAACTAAAGCCTACAGGCCAAATGTCATAATCAGCAAGCAGACTCCACAGCGTTTAAATGTTGGGGAAAGTAGTATCATACTTGCACACTTTCAATAGATTCTCGGGGGATAATTATATCAGACATGTGGCTTATAGCCACCTGGAAAAGTTCCCATGATCTCCCTTTTCCTGGTTCGAATGTTCCGCATCCGAGAAATTGGCTACCCAAAGCTAGAATACAGTGATACAGGGCGGAGAAGACGGGATTGTGGTGCAGGAATGCCGTCAGATTAGGGTCGAACGCCTGCGCCTCAAACTCCTCACGATCTAGAAATGGGTATACTGGGTGAAGGTTTACAAAGAAAGCTTCATGTATGTTAGTTTAGCACTATACACCGCATAATGTAGCTTGCTCGAGTTTAAGAATTGACAGTCTGCTTACCTTGAATATACCCAGTGGCCTCTTCGGAAGTGATCCGCTCCCTTTTCATAGGCTTGTGGAAAGGAATAGGAGGCCATGAAGATGCGTCTGGGATACCCAAACGGTTTAAAATGAAATCGTCGAGTCTCTGGACAACATCCTGGACCCGAGAATTGCCAATCCTTTGGTTCAAGGATGCCACTTTCTGCTCAGAGAAGAAAGCCAGGCCACAGCTTGGGACTATTGTTTTATTTCATCAAAGTTAGACCTTCAATAGTGTCCTTGCAAGTTGATTCTAGGGGGCTCCTCACCTTTTTCATCCGGAGACTATCGGGTTTCCAACTCGTTAGTCGTGGACAAACCGAAAAAAAAAAAAAAAAAAAAAGATAAAAATCAATGTGCTTGCGTTGAATCTGGAGCATACCGTGAATACGGCGGACTCATCGGAAAGGACAACGTCCTGCGGACCATGCTGCAGGACACGGTCGACGAATAGCTCGCCCAAGGCTACCTTCCCAGAAGGCCGTGAGCTGGCAGGCAAAGAATTGGCAACTTTCGGCCAGCCAAAAATCAGCGACAGGCACAATAGCGCATGGATTGAACGATTAACTAGGTGCGACAGATGTAGCTACCTCTGAACCGGGCCTTGCGGCGAAAAACGCTGAAATAGCAGGGAATTCCCCGTTTCTGAGGGACAAGGGGTCAGCGTGAAGGCAAGTTAACGGCTTTCTATAGATCATAAAAATCAAACTTACTATGCAGTACGTGCACCTAGGTTGCGAACCCGACGGCGTTTCGGGAACTAGAAACAATGAGAGAATGAGAATCGATTCAAGTTACTGGTACTCCATATACAAAAACGGCGCGCTGGGAAAGGCCCGCTCACCGATGCACCGAATCTTTCGCTGCCTACACTGGTCGCAGGTTTTGTTCATTTTGACACCGCCACCATTTGGGTTCTCCATGGTCAAATAGTGTGCGAATAGGCTTTTGTCTCGCAATATTCTTCTCGCAATATTCTTCTAGATAGCAGTGGCTCTGGATAATATGATGGCTAAAGCAGAGGAGGCACTGTTTGTTCAAGTGCCAGCACTTGTCTTTCCCCGAGATGCGAGATTTCAGGACGAGCAGACTTTCATTATCAGGGAGGCCCAGGGCGCCACGATCCAGTCAAATAACAATCGATACGGGCAAATTCAAGGCGCCGAGCATTTTGTCACTTACCCAGCGTACGCCCGTACATAGGCTACTCTAAGAATAGTTGAAATTTAGCTTTCTGTTCCCTGCTCAGCGCCCTTTCGCCCAGGCGGGCGATTACGCAGAAAGGAACCAGCCTTGTCAGGAAGAATTAGTTACCGGTGGGGGTGGTGGTGCCATCCCTAGCGCCATGTTTTAAATATCTCCCCTAAAGCCGGCTGCCGGCCTTGTATCCCAGCCCTAGGGGTAGCATTCATGGTAACCATCGAGGGTTTTAACACTTCGGCCGGGGTTCTATCGTGATGAAGAAAGAATGGGAGTGGGAGTTGATAGTTGATGTACAGAAGAAGAAAAAGAAGAAGAAGAAGAAGAAGAAGAAGAAGAGAGGTTGGATGATGATATGTGCTAGTTACCCGAATGCGGAATGAACAACAACATCTGGTACAAAGAACGTCCACCTCTTCCTGCGCACAAATCAACGAATTACAGAAACCTACTTGACCTTGATCCTGTATGATAACTAACAGATGTCCCCGACTGATTAATTAATAATACTACTTGTCTTTTCGGCGGACGGCACGGGACGAGATATTTAACTACGGGGTACTTGCTGTCAAGATAGCTGAAGTGAGGCTTTTATCTCCCCAGTCAGTCGGTTTAACTCTCAGCTGCTATTGGTATGCGGGAATAGGAGAAGTAAGTATCCTTGGACATCCGATATATGAGGATTTTGCATATGTCTGCCATCCTAAATATCTGTGTTAATCGAAGCAGACCCAAGCACTCAACGCGTTGATAACCAGTTTGTTGTCAAGCTGTCGCATCAGCCTCCTCCCAGCCAATAACTAGCCCTATGCGTGCTGCTGGAGGTCTGAAGACGTCGATTGCTACCGTGCAAGGGACCCTCAAAGCGAAGCGATATACGCAGTAAACTACTTCTGGAAAATTTCCGACGTTAACTCGTTCTAGAGATAATTGGCGGCTGAACTACCATTGGACCCATTTGGACAGCCTTGGACAACCTTGGACCGACCCCTTGGATCCCCCTGGCATCGAAGTCTCCTCTCCATGTTCTCTTCTCAGTATAGACTCGTAGGCCCGAAATCAGTCGGCGTTCTAAATATTGAACCCTGCATGGCGGGGGGGGAGAGGGAGGCAGACAGACACCTTGAATGCAAAACCAGGGGGGAGACCTGGTTGAGGAAATCCAGGGATAATTTTCGCCATTGAAATGGACCGAGGTCGAGAAAACCCTGCTTTCGTTTTGCAGCCTTCTTCTGCATAACATATGAAGTATGAAGATAGAGACCGTGACATGATGATGCAGCGAGGAAGGGGATAACAAACATATCGCACAAGGCGAGAGTATATGAACCCATTTTACGAGGCTTTCGCATATTTAGAATGTCGTTGCTCTCACCACCACACTATCGCTTATTTATTCACTTAGTTATCTTGACAAGTTTGCTGAATAGTTCATTCAACCAGGAAAGTATTCATTCCCCTTCGCATATAAATATCGTGATGCCATGCCGTTGTCTATGTATTTAGGTCAACAAACAAACCAATGCTCAAGTAAATAATCAACTAAATCCAAATAAGATAAAAAAAATAAAATAATAATAATAACAAGCTTGACACGAGTATCTATGACGAGCTAACTAACTATTTAACTTAACTGGTGGTGGAGGTTTCTACGGAAAGTTTCAATATTCCCGCTTGTCTATTTTTTTTATCCGTTTCAAGATCTTTTTGTCCTTGCCTGTCCTCCTCCAATTCCCGATATTCCTTTTGCTGTCGTATTATTCCCCCCCTTTTCTCCTTCACAAAAGCTAGATCTGCGCTTTTGAAATACTGATTTTCGCTGTGAGTTGGCTCCAATCCCTCAGCCCAGTTCGCACAAAAACAAAAAAAGGAGCGGAGAACGGAACTAACAGACATAAACGTTGTACCACTCATATATATATATATATATATATATACACTAACATATCCTTTGTTCTTATCCAATAGAATAATAGTCACGGAAGAAGGGTTTAAAAGAGACGTGAGAAAGAATCTTCGCCTGGGCGCAAACGAAGCCCCAGATCGCGGGGCACACCTTTTTCTTTTTCCTTATCTTCACCCCACCAAATCCACGCTGAGGTGCAAAAGACCGCCACAATGGTAGAGAAGGTCTATGTCACATATAACCAGGTATGTCAAGAGGGAGAAGAGGTAGAAGAGAGACGAGAGAAAAATGAAGAGAGAGGAGAGGAGGCGGGTGGATGAGATAGCCACACTGGAGAGTTGGGGGAGCGGATACATTGAAACACTGAGAACCCCCACGACCTCAGCGGTTTGTTCTTCAGCCATTTCTTATTTTAATTTTTTCTTGCTTCCAAGAACCCCACCGCTGAGCAACATGGCATTCTTGCGCCTTCTTTCCCTTAGCAACCATGGTGTTAACGAGGCGGAAGAGAAAAGGAGGAGGATAGTTGAATGTGGAGCCAGAACTTTTCAGAGATGAAGAATATGCGAATTAACCCGTTTTTTCTTGATCATAACAGGTGCACAAGCTGTGTCAAGCTTCGGCAGACCGCATCCTCAATGACTTCAGACCAAACCTTATGGTCGCCATCGGCGGTGGGGGATATATTCCAGCCAGAATGCTGAGGTATTTGGTTTCCTAAATATTCTCTCTCCTCCTTTATCCTTCCGGCAAGCAGGACGAGGGTGGGAGTGGATGCGGAGGGAGGGAAACAATTATTTTTACTCTCTCGTCCGATACTCCAATACACCAACCACCAGCATCGCCATATCTACTCCAAATATACCAAACGAAAACCCGTCTCATTCAATTCTTTGAAAAACAATAGATCCTTCCTCAAACAGCCCGGCGGCGGAAACATCCCAATCCAAGCCATCGGCCTCTCGCTGTACGAGAACCTAGGCAAAGACGACCAGATCGAGGAGCTCGGCACAAAAGTTACGCGCACACAATGGCTCGACCTTAGCTCGTTGGAAATGGCCAATCTGATCGGGAAGAACGTCCTCATTGTCGACGAGGTCGATGACACGCGGACGACGCTGGAGTACGCGGTGCGCGAGTTGCAGAAGGATGTACAGTTGGCTCAGCAGCAATTGGGGAGGGAGGGCGAGAAAACTACCTTCTCTGTGTTTGTGTTGCATGTGAGTTTCTTCACCTGCATCTTTTTCCCCTGAGTCTGTTTGCTTTTTGTACGGGCGGTGTTGTTTTTACATACGGAGTGAAAGAGGTTGGATAGAAAAATAATGGCCCGCGGGCTGTTTCATCCGCCAGCAAGACCGGAGTTTGTTGTTTCCCATCCAATAGAGTCAAACTGCTAACCAAACCCTCTCTCCACCATCCAGAACAAAAACAAAGATAAGAAGGGCAAACTGCCCACTGATATGATGGAAAGTGGCCGATATCTCGCCGCCGTCACCACCGGTGACGTCTGGATTTGCTATCCATGGGAAGCCAAGTATGTCTCTATCTACCCTTTCCCCTCCTCTTTTCGATCCCCTTTACTCCCCCTCCTTTTCGGCCCCCACCAAGCGCCCTTCACCTTTGTCCCCTGGTCCCTGAGAATATCCTTACGCCCCTCCCGGTCCCAACATAGCACGACTAAACCCGCTGATTGCATTGCCATTCTGTAAATCTTGCTTGGCTAACGTATTGAAATCCTGCTATTCCAAACAGAGATATCGACGAACACGATCAGCTGGCGGCTCAACATCCATTAGCGTGATTTCTTCCAGTCTTTCTTTCTTTTTCTTTTTCTTTTCTTTTCTTGTCTTTTCTCTCTCTCTCTCTCTTTTTTTAAGTAGTAACTAATTATTCCCTATAATGAATTTATACAAAAGAAGTTCATAAAATGTTACGGTGATGTTTTGTCTGGTTCCTAGTTTTTTGTTTCTTCCCCCCCCCTGGTTATTCTAGTCCCACCTTTACTGCACACGTCATTTTACGATTTCTTTTTCTTTCTTAGATTCCCATGGCATGGCAAGAGAGACACACAAAGACTGCCCAAAATGACAAGTAGCTTGAGTGACGATATGGAAACATCCTAATGAATACGTGCATCACACATTACCTCGTCTCCAATTAAAACTGTCATCTCGATGCGGTCTTGTAGTATTTCGTACTCGATTAAATAATGATCACTTCTGACGAGGCGGACAACATGATATCATGTTCATCCTTGGTGGTTATTGTCAATGCTAAAAAAAAGCCTCGCGGGACAGTTCCGAATCCTCTTCTCTGTCATATGTGTATTTATTAATTTCATATACTATCTCTCTATCTCTCTATATATTAAAGAAAAACCAACTTTTCTGTGCAAAAAACGCTGTAACGTGACCTCACGTGACGTCACGTGCACCCCATCAAAAATCCATGGATACGTAGTGGCGCCTGCCAATTGCACCACTCTATCTATCATCACCACCGCCTCTAACGCCCCGTAGCACCCCCTATTACTTCCACTTCATACCCCTCCCTCCATCTTATCACTCACTCTTACCACCCCTACCACCCCTACCACCCCTACCACTTCTATCACCTCTATCACTCCTACCACCTCTACCACCTTTATCACCACTGCCTCTACCACCCCACAGCCCCTCTATCACTTCCACTCCATATCTCTACCCTACCCCCATCTTATCACTCACTCTCTTACCATCTCTATCACCTCTACCACCTCTACACTTCTTCCACTCCGATCCCCCCTTACCACCCCTTATCACTCCTTACCATCTTTACCACCCCTACCACCTCTACCACCCCTACCACCCCTACCACCTCTACCACCACCACTGCCTCTACCGCCTCGCAGCACTCTCTATCACTTTCACTCTCTATCTCTACTCTCATCTTATCATTCTATCCCTCTCTTACCATCTCTATCACCTCTCTCATTTCTATCATTTCTATCACTTCTCTCTATCACCTTTTCCACTCTCTAGCCTCTCTATCATCATCATTATCTCTACTACTCTACAGTCTCTTCTATCACTTTCACTATCTCTACTTCTCTCTTACTATCTCTATCACATTTTGATCTCTGTGTTTATAGTATATACTGCTAAATACTCTGTAATAAAATCTCATGTGATGTTATATACATCTCTTTGAATTTATGAATGAGATTGAATAGCTGACTGTGCAGTCTGTACAGCTCTGATTAATCTGATAATGATGATAGAGATGATACAGACTCACAGAGTGAAAGAGAGTAGTAGAAGAAGTAGAGATGATAATAATAATGATGAGAGAGTGAAAGAGATGAAAAGAGTGATAATAGTGAATAGAGATAGAGAATGAAAGTGATAAAGAGGGTTGTGAGGTGATAGAGATGGTGGTGATGATAGAGGGAGTAGGGGTGGTAAGGGAGAGGTAGAGATAGAGAGATGAAAGTGATAGGGGGAGCTGCGGGGCGGTAGAGGTGATGGTGATAGTGATAGAGGCAGTGATGATG